GGGGTTTCAGATTCTCCTCCAATTTCCTGCCCTCCTCCAATATCTTCTCTCTGTATCCAGTCTTCAGTGGTATCTTGCGGGATCCTACCCACCAGGTTCGTCCCACGTTGGAGACTGGAGAAGTCGTTCTCCTCGAGAGATTCAACCTCTGTAGTATCACCTTCGGCCGATAGTGAAGAACCTTCTGCACTGTCCGAATCGGAAGGTGACAGCGATAAAGCGCGCTCCAATCGACGCCGAAAGTCCTCATGTTGTTTGGGGCGGGCAGGCTTTCTCATTCCAACCATCTTTGTGCCAGAGAAATGTTAGAACAGTGAATTTGTCAAAAGTAAAATTCGGGCAGCTTTTATAAGGTTTGTCAGGAAGGTCTGAGTAAGCAATTGATGTGGATTTCTCTCGCAACATTGAATTCTGTTGGAACTTTGGCTTCGTCAGATTATGTAGAGCCATGAATGTAAGAAGAATTGGAATTATGGGCTTTTGAATTTTTGAGTGAGGTCTAAGCTGAACAGACATAGTAATCATGTAGAATGTCAACATTCGAGTAAACGGACAATGTCGCCATGTAGAAATTCAACATGCAAGGTCAACAGGCAAGGTCAACAGGCAAGGTCAACAGGCAAGGTCAACAGGCAAGGTCAACAGGCAAGGTCAACAGGCAAGGTCAACAGGCACGCTCAACAGGCAAGTTCAACAGGCACGCTCAACAGGCAAGTTCAACAGGCACGCTCAACAAGTAAGGTCAACAGGCACGCTCACCAGGCAAGGTCAACACCCAAAAGCACCATGCAAAGTCAACATGGAAACTCAACATGCGATAAAATGCAAGTCAAACATGAACACATTGCTCTAAACACATTCGATTCCATCCAGGTCGTGCAATTGGAATATTGCTCAACAGTAATAGTGATTTTTACCTATGAGCGACGCAAAATTAAAAGATATTACCTGATTTCTGAAGATCAGGAATTGGTGAAAGTATGTGATACGGAGCGCTTCTCAGCTGCAAAATGCTTGGAATAGCTCATCGGACTAATCCATGGAACGGATTCTGGCTCGAAAAAGTATGACTGACTTCCCCAGTGAAAGATACTTACTACTGACCCTAGTGAGCATTTAAAAGTCAGCCAAGTCCCTTCAACAGCCATTTATAACCATCCCATCAGCATCAATTTAAAAATCACAATGTCCCCACGCAGTATTTTGAGCTGGTCGGGACAAGAAGAAGATAGTCTTCTGCAGTGGTTGGATGAAAATCGTGCATTGCCATGGAAAGACCTTCCGGACGCATACAGAGAAAAATTCGGTGTGGACCGCAGCGTTGAATCCTTACGAGGCAAAAAATACCATATTCTGCGGAAGAATAGTCGCACGACTGCCCGATCTCCGAAAAGTCAAGGTCGCCGTAGACGACGAGAGCCCGCCCGCCGCTCGGTTGAACAGACAATCATACACTCAGACGCCCCAGCCAACGCGGCAACCCGGAGCAATATCGATCTGTGGTTCGAGACGATTCTTGCGTCCGAGTCTGATCCTGCTGGTAGCAGCGAATCGACGCTGACAAGAGTCTCGATTTCAGGTATGGGTCCTCTCAAGCTAGATCTATGTATATGCTAAGTAGTCTTTCAGATCGCTTGACGCCAGCGCTTAAAAAATACCGTCCCAAGAAATCACGATCGTCATCATGGATCTGGGAGTATGTACATCGTATGTGCGCCACTGGGAGAATGGACTTCTAAGGTGCGGTGTATGAACATGATGCGAAGCATCACAGGAGAGGACCCTGGTATACAAATGGGTGTGGAGCCGGTGCAAATGAACGTTTGATTCCCAGATATGATCAGATGAGGCATGTAGCCTTAAGAGGAATGCCAGTTGCTCCTATCTTTCAAGATCTCAAATAGTGCACAAGAAATTGGATATGATAAAACAATTTTAAGTATACCATCATTTTTGGTGCATCTTGTTCAAAACTAGAGGCCGTGTTTTCTTCCCAGCGGAGGGTGGGTCTGAACGACTTCCCTGCGTGCTTGGTCAAGCTACACTCGAAAAAAGACAGTACTATCATTCTGCGCCTGCGGACGATCAAGGCGGTCTTCAAGTTGGTATTGCCTCGATTTTGAGACAATTATGCACTCTGACCTCAATTTTATGTCGAGTCAAGACCGTTTTCCAGACGGTACCTTGGATGGCGTGCGTAATGACCATACTCGGGTTGAAAGTCCGAACGAAAACTTTGTTCCGTCAAAGCATCCTATTTCTCTCCATAAAATAATATCATGGCTTTGTGGATCCCAAAAAGCGTCCCCTCCAAGCAGCCCAGGTCTTTTGCTGCGAAATGTCCGACTGAATCTCTGATGCCCTCAAGAATCTCACCTAGCACAGGACTTCCCAATAAGTACATAAACAGCTGAAGCCTCTTACTACCACCAAGTCATCAATGTCCTCCACAGACTACACGTGCTAAGTTCGCAGTCTCCAACATGCGTCTTTCTGTGCTCCTCTTCATACTTTGCCCGCTTGTCTTCGGCAATACCCTGGAGATCATAGATGTGGGTGGTCTGTGTTATATCTACTCGAACAGCACACGAGGCTGTACAGGATCCTCGGAGGCTATTGGGGAATTGAATGGTACTTCTTGCTCCAGTAAGTACAGCTACATACAGATCATCTATGGCGCAATTCCACTGACACTCACCAGATCTCAGCACGATAGGGCACAACAAGCGCACCGAGACAGATTCAGTCAATGTGACTGTCTGTGGCCCCCACCGACAAACTGGTCAAGAGCTTGCTTGGGTCACAGCAGACAAGAGCGGTCTTCTCAAGTTTCAAAACATCGGAGGAGACACAGCAAACTGTTCCATCGGCAAAGAGTTCACGGCGGGGACTTCCTGCTCTGCCCTTAGTGATAGTTCGATAAAATCGGCCGCAGAAACGCCTACATCGATCTTATCTACTAAGGTTATAGAATCTAGCACTGTTGCATCCTCAAGCATGAAACCGACGTCGCCCAAGCCCGTCCCGATGGACTGCTAGTCAATTGGGGCAGGAGTCGGTGACATTTGCCTTCAACCAATTCAGTTCAATCTCTACTGCATCCGTTGTATTCAGGTCATTCTGATATTTCCTTCTAGCTCCCAGGCTGGGCTTGTGCTGTGGCCTACAAGAATTGATTAAAGTGTACTCGTCTTGCTTTACTTTGACATTTTCCTACAATTTTGGTTGAAAGAAAGTAGTGTTAAGGTAGAAAATTTGAGCTGATTTTTTACCAAAGCAATGGTCAACTTCGTGGTTGCATTGAGAGATCCACGAAATGCCTGACTTCCCGCTGTCTTGCGGTCCCTCGGGCGATTAATGTACTACAGAGCGTTGGAAGAGATTGGAAAATGATCCATACACTTGGCTGCGAATCTCAGTGGAGCTGAAGGAAGCAAGCGTTAACAAACGTGATATGCGATACGTCAGTCTATGTCTATCACTCTACATAATGGCACCAATAGCCCTAAGTGTAAAGACTGGCTCCATGTACATAAGGTCAGTGTATGATTGAAGAGCAAGATTTTTTTGATTGAGCATAATATTGAGAGTCTCCAGATTCCACGTACAGTCTGCGACGCGTCCGGGAAGTATAACCGGTTAATGCAATCCTCAAAGCCCTGTCCATTCAGCCGTACATCGGGGCAAGACTCCTGGAGTATTCTGCTGAAAGCGTGATAGCCCTGGTATTGGCTATAAAATATCAAGATACAGGTTTTGCGACAAGAGCCATTTTGTCTGCGACGTTGTCGTGAATCGTTCATCCAAAAGGTGGCGGGCCTTCTCCACTGAGAACTTCGGGGGTGAGCCAGAAATCCCAGTCAACGACGTCTTCTTTCTCGGATTGCAGACAATCGGATTGGTGGATCGCCTCCTTCTTCACTGGAGCTTCTTGGGTGACGTTGAAGTTATGTGCAGCAAACGCATTTCTGGGAGAAAAGACTATCAGAGGTTTTGTCAGCACGGCGGCCACTGTCCTTCCTTTTATAGACTTACCTGGCAGTTTGCGTCGTTCTATTTCTGCCACAACTAGCGATTCCTAATCAGGCATGAGGATTTTGCGGGTTGGAAGGAGAAGAGTATGACTGGAGAATCTTGCTCGAGCGCTTATTAAGAATAAATGATGGAGTTGGGAATGGCGATGCTTTGCCTTGGCAGTCTTCCTGGATACCTTAGCAACAAAACAGGGCCAAGGCTTCGCGGTCGACTGGTCATCAACTCCGACAGTTCGTCATTCAATCTAGCGCACTTGTCATTTTCAACATAAAAATGGGCCACCAGGCTTTCAAACCTTGACTGTATGTCCATCGAACAAGATGTTTTTTATTCACCTAGATAAGACAGCGCTTTAGAATTGGTCGCGTAAGCCAATACAAAGAGTATCACAGTAGGCACTATGTCAACGATCATATCTTATTTGGACACGCCACGTGCCAGATGACGCTTCTGCCTGCTCGATCGACTGTGCCTGTGCAGCAGATCAACCACTCTCGAATGCTGTCCATGTTCTGCCCACCAGAGTGGGGTTCGTCCTTGGTCATCAATCAAATTCAAATCGATGTCAGGATGTTTCAGCAACGATTTGGTCACTCCAAAATACCCATTGGATGCCGCAAAGAAAATGGCTGTCCATTGCTGATGGCCACGGGCATTGATATCGACCAAGTTCCCTGCTTGGAGGAGGAGAGATACAATGGATTCATGATTCAAATGAACAGCTACTTGGAGCGGAGTCGTTCCAGTAGGGCTTTTCTGATTGACCTGGACTGACCTGAAACGAAGGAGGGCCTTCACTGCGGGAGAGTTGCCTACGCGGCATGCAGACCAAAGCGGAGGCACGATATGTGTAGACTGAGAGTTGATGCATATCTGCCGCTGTTCCAATAACAGTTCAAGGACTGACAGAACGGGGCTCTCGGCAGCTCGGGCTAATGGCATAACACCATATCTATCAGGATTATTCAACTCAGCTGCCTTTGACGTAGAAACAATTTCACGAGGTCATAATGGCCACGGTTGACAGCATGCCAGAGAGCTGTTCGCCCTTTGGAGTCTGAAAAATTCACATCCAGTTCGGAATGCAGTAGAAGAGAGTCGACCATGAGGACAGATTGCTGACTATTGAGCCTTTCCACAGCCGGGCTCTGGTGGTTGATATCGATTCCTGCATATCGCACCAGCATCTGGGCTGCTATATGATCTCCTTCGAGAACCGCAGTTTGCAGTGGCGTCCAGCCAAGAGAGTCTGGGAGATTGACATCCACTCGAGGATCAGCAAGTAAAAGTTGGACGGCATAGTACTCGCGATGCTTCGGCGCGTTTACTAGAGCAGACAGTCCGTCCGAGCATCGATCGTTGACATCAATCTCCTGAGACTGGAGAATCCGCTCCACGCTAGCAGCATTTCCGCCGATCACCGCAAGTGACAGGGGCCCTCGACCTCCAAAGTCGCAGCAATAGCGGACGTCGGGCCGATACTGCAAGATCAGATCCACCGCCTGTGGGTATCGCAGGTCAATAGCGAGAAGAAGCGCATTCTTGCCAGCGTGCAGACAATCGATACAGCAGTATTCGAAATTGGCTTCCATGTTTTACACAGAGAAACTATCTCAAGCCCCACTGCCAAGACGATGGTGAAACCGCCTAGACCGAATTCGGCTAGACTGCAGATCATCCTGACTTTGAACAGTTTTAATGTATGGTACGGAACATCGGACGTATTACGGGCCCACAAGTTACAGTAAATGTATGGCTCGTCCAGGTTGCATACATCACGTCTGCGTCTGATAGGATAGATAATATGACGTCGTGACAGGCTTCAGACCATTACGTCACCACGCATATTTCGTTCTTTCTTCTCGAAAATTTTACAAAGACTCATTACTTCACCAGACAATGAATTACAAGGAATCAAATCAAAGCACGATCTTGAATATTCGTCCTTCTCCATGTCAACTGAACCACTCTTGCCATCCTACGATGCTATCACACAACGATGTGGAACCGGCAGTAGAAACGGTTCTTCTAGCATTGGAAGAACTTACGACAATGCCACCGCTCTCCATAGAAAGATTATAACAGCCATCGTCGCCTTCTCCATCTTTATCAGTGCTATTCTATCAACTATTTGGGCTAGACGAAGCTATGGAAACATGAAACCTGTGAGCTTCCCCAGCCTCGCAATTCTTTCTCGTCTTACTCATTTGCTCAGGATCCACGTTCACCTGCCCCCTTGCTCCCTTACTTCGCAATACTATTCCTTAGTATCTCGACTAGCTGTTGGGTTGTATATCCTATGTTCATATATTTTGATCGAGCTGTAGAACCTCAGCTGGAGCAGAAGGCTATGATTTGGACTTCGACTATCGGAAAAGTATTCCTTGCTTGCATACACATTGGGGTTTCTTCATGGTACAAACTATCATTCCCAGATTTATCACAGCCGAGCTGGGTCTTAGTGTTCCTGGCAGTTCAAGCGTGGTGAGACCTTTTGCTAGTTTCGGTATATTATGCCAACAAGATTTACAGAATATTGGGCCCATGACTTGTTCCCACATGGTTATGATGAATTTAATTTTCGATTAATGAAGATAAATGTCTAAAAAAAAACAAAGTACATTAAGATACTCATTTACGACGCAAAGTTTACGTTCGGGTGCAGTGACGAGGATACAGATACCACGCCTGAATCTAAGACGGATCATGATTTTGAGGATGATATCACACTATTAAGAGACTTTTCATTTATTTCTGTCAGCACGAATGGCGCAGTATTCACGATGCATCGGCTGGTATGTACAGCTCACTGTGCGCGTTTAGCTGAAAACCGACGAGCAGCTGGAGCGATGGAAGGAGCAATTCATTATGATGTTGTGGCAAAGCTTTCCGACAGGTGAATCCGAAAACTGGGCAAGTTTGAGTCCCTTTTTCCACATGTGAAGTCAGCCATGTCACAACGATCAAAATCACAAGACTCTCCAGTGCAATACGCTGCTTTACAATAGGGCATGGCATGCACTAGAAAGCGGCAATACTGCAGAATCGAAGGATATGCATCAAAGTCGAGGAAGCAAAAAGCCTTGATCTTTGGCTCGGAGGGCGAACAGACTCTGCATAGCACTCGATATTAGCGGATGGATACCGCCTCGAGGGGCGATGGAATGAGGCAGAGCAGCTCGAGATGCAGGTCATAAAGACTTCGTATCTAGTAAACTCTTTCAAGAGCCTACGGGTAACAGCCCGTGGTTTATATGTAAGTATCTAGTATTTACTTCGACTAGACGGGTAACTTACGGCGCCGTATCTCGTCCGATGTTCTGTACCATACGATAACACTGTTCAAAACTATGATGATCTGTGGTCTAACCTAATCCGGCCTAGTCAATTCTATCATTGCCTTGGCAGTGGGGCTTCGGATAGTTTCTCTGTGTAAAACATGGAAGCCAATTTCGAATATTGCTGTACTGACGATTCTCGACACACTGCTGAGATAACGCAGATATCGCATTTGCGAGAACCGGCCTGACCTCCAACTTTTGACCCAACGCTACCTTGCTTCTTGCAACATGCTGGATTTCGTTTCGGATTCGGTCTTTCCGCTGAAATTTTGGCTGAGGATCGATGAGGATGGCCATGGGGCAATAGCACAGACCAGACGTACCTGGTTTCCAACGACTTCCCTCATTCGAGCTAGCTGCAACTGCAGCTGTGGAGGAGTGCACAATAGCCTTGCTCTGGGACAGTCCTCAAGATTTCGAATCATTCGAGACAACGGCGACTTGAGCGCAAGATCTGGAAGGGGCTTTCAGATATGGCGGTGTTATCCAAACTAGGCATGCAATAAAACTACGCTGAACATCTCACCGATGGTCTCGCTAGAAACACCTTCTCTCGGGCACATTCCAGCAAGTGGATCAGACGAGAAGCTACTGACTCACATGAACGGCTGGCACACAGGTTCTGGGGCTGACGGGCTATTTGGCTATCGGTTGTGGTTGGCAGAAGAGTGTAGAATCTTCCTAGCGCTGAACTCGATTATTTCAACCTAACTAGACCGGCCTAGTCGTGACATTTGGTGTTTCAGCGCAGTCTCTGATTGTGTTGGGCTGACGAGGGACATACCTGCACAGAAATGCTCGCTTGCATTCCCATGGTCAAAGATCTAGATTTTTAGCTCTGCTCGACGAGGCTCGTGGGTACTTGCAAACGTACAGAAGGTTCGGGGCCAAGTCTGGACTCAGGGTCTGGCCGGCGGGCATGAACACGAGTATAGTGGAGTGAGCTACCGCGTGCGTAAAGAGAGTTGTGTGACTTCAGTGGTTGGGGTATGCAGTTTTCATGTCATTAGCAGAAAGAGCCTGGAGAGTCAAAGGTGAGCAACTTATCATGCATCGGCTGCAGGAGAGCATCAAACGCCTTCTTGGTGAGGAGAATCCATCCAATGCGACAAGGGAGAGATTCTTTTCGACAGAGACCGGGGAAGGAGACCTTATTTATAGCTTTTTGTCCTGACTTGCTGCCGCCTGCCTCATATTGCCGCGGCGTGGCCTTGTCAGTCTGTGGCCATTTTTGAGGGGCATTGATGGTGCCTGCGCAAAGTGAGGCCTATTGAGCCTTCATTCGATGAGGTGATTTTCTGGGCCACAACTAACCGAAGCCAGTGATTCATTTTAAGGTCCTTTCAAGAGCCATGCGGGCATCAGTTCTTTGTGTAAACATCTGTTCAAATAGCATCGAATGGTCTGATCCTAATTTACCGACAGTTCTTCAGGCTTCAACGTAGAATCAGCGACCACAATCTCAACACTTGAAAAAAATGCGGAGCGAATCACCGGTTCACTGCGCAGACGTGCTCTATTATCACCTTCATTTTCCTTTCAGCATTGGCTTTAGGTTTGAAACTGAGGCTGATGAGCGAGTTGGGTTCTGAGTAAGTCTGCCTCAACGCGCCCTCATGAGTACGGTCGTACAGGTAGCCACAACCTACTAGAAATATTTTCTTGGGCGTAGCCTTGCTCGGCTCGTTCGTCAATTACGCGTCATCTATCGAACAGGACGGAGTTGTGTGACCAGAAAATGGCCCAGGCGACGATGTTGTAAAAATATATTTCGCGCAAGCGATGACCAGCTTCAGACCTCACAGACACTCAGGAAGAGACAGACATACCGGCGAATCCAGACGTACTCATTATCAATATCTTGATTCTGTTTAGATACATGTATTCCCTATCGATATGACTGAGACTCGAAACGATCGTTGATTGAATGATGCTTTCCTCATAACAACGGCAGCGTTGCTTGCATCAGAGATTCGTGTACATTCCTCCCTGCACAGCGAACACCTAGAACACAAGATGTATCACAGAAATTGAGAAGCCAAAGTAAATGCCAGTCTTGCTCATCAGCCATAGAATGTGCCTTGAAATTGTGGTCATTTGGCGAAGCAACATGTCAGACACCGCATAGGTCGGTGATCTGTTAACTTAATCCGCTCCGATGCGGGATGGGATTGTCCAAGTCACGGTCCGACACAACATCTCGGATAGCTAACTTAAGTTATTGGCTAACTAACTAGTTAAGTGTGGACTAAGTGCTGAGGTAACTAATCGTAGGTATGGAAGTCGTCATGTGAAGGAGTGCGTTCTCCTGGGCTGCCCCTGTGTCCGACTAAGAGCTTGTCTAGGCTAGGCTGACTAAGCAAGCTAAGGCGGTAAGGACCGGCAGTATACTCCGACACACGATCTCGATTAATTGCATCATGGCCGGTCGCGTTGCCAATGCGACACGGTCATCTCAGCCAAAGACGAGCGGGCGTCCCCGAACCTCTACGCGCTATTTCCAGAGCCACATACGAGCACGATATCCACCGGATTCTTGTTGGCCCATGAAGGGCACCTTGTTGCGAGCCAACACCGGCGCTCGCAAAAGCCCTTGACGACGTGCCGCTTACCTCAAAAGGTTGACTGAAGTGCTGCTCACTGTAGTATACTTCCTCACCGTCGTCCCCAGCGCATGTATGAATGATCCCCTGAACCCGGCGCCCAATCTCTGCATAGCCCACCGCTTGCGCTACAACTAATTTTCCATTCAAGGCGTACAGGCTTAGAGATGAGGGCGAAAGCTCATATTTGTGACTACTCCGGCCATGTGGCGTATGTGTTGGCGAGTACATTAGGAAGTTGTTCTTAGAGCCGTGGCTCCCTATCCCATTTACGGCTCGATCGGTTTTAGGATCATCTTGACCGGTCCTGGGAGCTGTAGCGCTCCTAGAACGCTCACTCAAGATCCCAGGGCCAGGCTTTCGGTTTCGGGGATCCAGTTGAAGTATTCTTGGGACAGGCACCTTGGATTTACGTGCACACTTCTAACCCAAGCAGATTCTTGCTGCGGATCTATACAGTGGCCCAAGGAACCGCAGGAAAACTTCCTGTGCCACCCAGCCAAAACATCACGACGATCTATCTGCTCGGCATTTCTTGATATAGCTAGCCAAGTTACCTACAGGGTATATAGTGGCAAGAAGACCCCGAGAAGAGTTTTTCAATCTCTATACCATTCTTCTTTGACCATTTCAGCCCAGTAGATATTAGCCCAGAACCATGACTTCACAGAGCGCGGAGACCGACCATTCCTTCGCTACCTTCCTCCCTCCAGACAACTATCAATTCGTGCGCAACCAGTGGATACCGCGGACAATGACCTCTTTTCGCCCAAGTTGCATAGACGACATTATTTGAAAGATCAAACATGAACATGATCATCTGAGTCAAGCAAATGAGACCTTGACGGCTACCCTACAACAGTTGCGTCAGGAAATGACAAGCTCCTTCAGATGCTGCAGCTCAAGGACAAATATCTTCAGGCAGCTCAGTAACGCATAGAAGAGCTCAAGCAAGCGGTCGATAAATCGAATGACATTGCGGTATGGATGCAGAACTGGGAAGGACGCTTGGCAGCATGCGAACAAATTATTTCAGGAAAATATCCAACCGACGCTGGACTCGAATGCTGGTCTTCGGATGGAAGAGCAAAGACGTGTTCCCCTCTCAGGCGGTCGGGTTGGTCAACGAGCTAGGAGGTGAAACTTCCGCCACGTCAGCAATCCTCGAGACAAGTCCAGCAATAGTCATGTGCAAAGCCCATGGGTTTTCCCATAGGCCAGCATAAGTAGAGTATTACTATATAGTGAGGATTATGAAAAGTGGGTCCATTAGGCCTAATTAGGGGGTTGAACCCCTCCGATCTCTTCTGGAATACTGCCCAATTAGGCTAAGATCCTTCCATAGAGTTACCCAATTAGGCTAGAGCCCTCCTAATTAGGAAATATTTTGTGTAGATCGTTAATATCGCTGCTTGTTGAAAATATATATTTCCACCGCTCTCACCACCCCAACACCTATATATATTTTTATAACCCTATGAAATTAACTAAGTTCAATATGCTGATCCTGTTGTGATTGGACGATGCATGTTCATGCGAAAGATGTCTGCCTCGGGCAGACATCATGCAATCTGGCAATTCTACCTACCTCCTCTTATCGCTGCTTTGCTATCACTCCTTTCAGCCGAAGAGTGGTTCTATCCCCTCACTCTACCGTGGTTCGAGTACGCTTGGCAGTCTTTGACTTGCCCAATAAGGAGATCAGACCTCGATGCGTGGATGGTGAGGATAAGATATATTGCTCCGGAGTCCCCTTTAGAATAAAAGCAGACTTGTTCAGTTGAATAAAAGTAGACTGTCTTTTCAAGTAAATCCGTCATCCACTTTCATCATAGGTACCTTCAGCCTGTAAATCAACAGCGCTTTGCACATTTCTTTTCTGTCCGTCCCTATTTCTATCGGGAGATATATTTGGCGTATGCAGACGAGCCGAAACCTCACAACCTATTACATAAAGACACATGCCGGCGATAATAGATCTATTCTTTACTGTACCACTACTATAGACATCATCTTGGGAAAATCATATAGAATTGAATGAAATTCATTAACGATCTTGGACTCAGTGATACTGTAATCTCTTTTTTGATAACAACGATAGGACTGCAGGATGGCCTATATTTCTCCCCTCGCGAGGCGTAGAATACAAGGTGGACAGTACCACAGCTTAGAAAAAAAACGCAATTTCCAGTCTTTTCGAGCAACGCTGAAAGTGCGCAAATTGATCAAACGGTGTGCAAAGGAACCATCTCTGAACACGTAATCAAGGTCGAAAAGCCTGTACCAATGGTATGGGTCACGTATATCTACTTGTCTCGTATTCTCTAGTCTCCACCGCAGCAGTTTAACATGTGGTACGCTGACTAATAAAGCTGATTACATGATCCATTGTTCCGACAGTATGTTCCAGTCATGTGATGAGGGTTTGAAACAGCCTCTCTATGTTAAGCCACCACATTTTGCAACGTCTCGTGCGCACGTACATCCGTGTTGGTTATTCCCTTCTTCTCACTTCGTTCGTTTCAAGGCATTGTCTATACGGTATTTTACTCCGCCTTGGCGATGATATGATGTCTTGTATCGGTATGGGTATTGTAGCTGGAATTATCCATTAAACTGCAATCAAATCACATGATTGAGCAATTAATACAAACATAAAACCTGCCTGACAATCCCCTCCCCCTTCCTCCTGTTTCCAATTCGCGATTAACAGTTTACTACTCGCTTTTCACCCACGATCCTGTGTGTTTTCTTGGTTGTCATTCTGTCACAAAGTTATCCATCTTTTGATCTGGATTTTTTTTTGGTTATTTCAATGAGCGGCATTGAACGTCGAGCAGCCTTGGAAAGCAAATTTCCATCCCTAAAAGCCTATCACGATGACCTCAAAGGTCTGTCCACAGTACTCGAGGACAACAAAAACATCGGCTTTGACGCAGACATCGCGGAGCGCATAGAGCAGTGGATGCTTAAGCGAAGGGGAAATGCATTTACGTCGATGGTTACGAGTGACCGCCCGGCATACATCTTGGATCAATCCCGCTTTAAATACCACACTGCCGTTGACATCGACCGCAAGGAGGTCATTCAAGCATGTGACGTGAACGGAGTCGCAGTCCATAGTCGTGAACAGACGATTCGCGACTTGAGTGACACCGATACGATCGCTCGCGTCAATGCATCCGATTCTAATCCGTTTTTGAAAGCGCGGTTCGTTCTGGATAATCCCGACGCGGACCGACTGATTGGTGAAATGATGATCTCTGAGAAAAGAGAATTTTTTTGGTGCTACCTTCATGGGTTGATGCACATATCGGGACTCGAACTGAGATTATTTACAAACTGCTTCTGTGGTCCTAATCTAACTATTGGAAGATATGATAGCTGGCCGTTGACAAAAGAGGAAGCTCATAATGTACATATAAATATTTGTTGAGGTAACGCTGGCACTGCGCTGGCATCGTTAGCTGTGTGTGGTAATGTAATCAGTCATCCTTTGCCCTCGCAGGGCAGAATCGACCACTTTTGCGGCTCTTTGTTGATCATGGCTCATCCGGTTTGTATTGGTTGATTAGGTGGTGCTGGAGAATATTGACAATGCTAATGCAGTGTCCTCTGCTTGTACCCGTCGGTTAGTAGTTCGCAGAAATTATACAGGAGGTTTCAACCGGCGTGGCAAGTGTTTGATTAGGAGTCAGAATCCCTTGGAGCTGTGTAGGCCAAATTTTGCGCTATTTACCGCCCGAATACGGAGTACTTTCCGTAACATATTTTAAGAACCAAGTACAATGACTGGTGAAACTGATTTCGATCCTCGCTGTACAACTTGAATACACAATCTATTTCTAGGCTGTTATTTACGACGGTTTTAAAATACCGCCAAGATACGGGGGTACATATAGTAACCGCAATAGGTGTGGTTCGTTTCGAAAGATGGTTTGAGATAAAATCTCTGTGTGTAACTGGTGAATCTGATTTCGATCCAGGGTGTAACAGTAGCCAGACACGGCGAAATGTGATAGCAGCTTTGCCTCAACAACGCAACCGAGCGGCGTTTCTTGCGCATACATATCGCTCACTCAGCAGGTAGCCCTCATGCTGAAATTCGAAAACACTTGTCCCACAATTTTGCCCCTTGCTCCTCGAAGTTCTATCTCTGGGAACAAATAAAATGGTCCTGGGAGCTATTCTAGTCCCAGGATTCATACAGTGTTGATTGGAAGATGCTGTTATTGCTCAGAGGTGTGAAATGTCTTATTATTCAGAGGGAAACAAGAGGCTATATATACAACGAGAAGATCAAGTTGATTTCCAATCAACTTGACTCTTCGTATACATACACCGGAATTAATCCCGATGGTTCGGCTTGGTTCCTGATCTGCGCCAGCCTCATATCACAACATTCCCCCTCAGGATCGCTTTGCTGGCAGGGCGATGGCAGGGCGATACTGAAATTGCGCAGAGCAGTCAGGCCTCAGTAAAACCACTTAAAAACCTTCATGGGAAAATATAGTGGAAAGAGCGCCTGCGCTATCACGCCTTTTGTCTCGAAATCTCTGAAGCATCGACTCCCAAGAGACTACAAAATTTGGCAAAGGCCATAGGTCCCAATGGCTTGGTGAGACCGTCCGCGGCCTGTTCCCCAGTTGGAATATATTGAAGCTCAATCTCGCCAGCATCCAGCACGGATCGCTGATAGTGAAATTTCACATTGAAGTGCTTGGTCCGTTTATGGAACTCGGGATTGCGAGAGAGAGCGATCGCGGACTGGTTGTCAGCCATGATGTTGGTGACCGGAGATCGATACAGCTGCGTTTCAGCGGGAAACGTGCGAAGCCACTGCAGATGCAGAATGGCATTGTACTGCCCGATGTATTCGGCATGTGTTGTGGACGTAGCCACTTCCCCCTGTCTCTTGGACGACCAGGAAACTGGCGCACCAGCAAGTTGGAACACATAGCCCGACGTGGAGTATGCACCGTCAGTGACGACGGAGCCCCCAAAGTCGGCGTCCGTGTACCCGATCAACTGCCCACTGCGGTAGGTAATGCGATGAGATTGCGTGGCTTTGATGTAGCGAAGCAATCGCTGCAGAGCAACTTAGTGATGCGATTGCGGCTGGGACGTGAAGCGACTCAACATGCCCAGCGCAAACGCAATATCCGGCCGCGTGCCGACCATTAGATACATTAACGAACCGATGGCAGTAGCATAACGAGCTTTTGCTTCCTCATCTGGAGGTTCCTCCTCTGGATTATGATTTAGGCTTTGCTTGGGATTCATCGGCGTAGACTTCGGCTGACAAGTCTCCATGCCAAAGTCGGAGAGCACCTTCTGGATGTACTGTTGTTGGTGAATAGACACGGACCCATCGACGTGATGGTCGAATTGGATCCCGAGAAACGATTGCGGGGTGCCCAGATCATTCAGTCGGAACTCTGTTTGCAATGCTTGTTGCACTTGTTCTATTTCGTGCGTGTTTGCCGCTGCAACGAGAAAGTCATCGACATAAACACACACGACGCAATTCGGTTTGTAAAACACACAGTTGTCCGATTGGGCCATAGTGAAGCCATGAGAAGCCAGGACGCGGTGGACGCATTGGTACCAAATCCGCGGAGCCTGCTTCAGTCCGTATAGTGAGCGGCGCAGTCGGCATACGTATCCTGGCTGTTCGAAGCCTTCAGGTAACTCCATATAGATAGACGAATCGACATCTCCATGAAGAAATGCCGTGACAGCATCGAATTGGTGGAGTTTCCATCCGCGCAATACGGCACTGGCGACAATGCAGCGGACCGAGTCCATCCTGGACACAGCAGCAAACGTTTCGTGATAGTCGATGCCATGTTTCTGCCGGTAGCCTTTGATGACCAGTCGCGCTTTACGGGTTCCATTGGCCTTGGTCTTGAAGACCCATTTGCAGCCAATCACATGATCTCTGGCTGGGACGTCCTCTCGTCGAACCTTTTCCCACGTTCCGTGTTCGAGAAGCGACGCATATTCTTTCTGGATGGCGGCCCACCAGTCCAGCTGGTCTGGGCCTGATACAGCTTCGCGAAAGGTCGCCGGGTCGACTTGTCTGGCTGGTGCGGTATTCAATGCGCCGGCCGAGTATACCTTGCCGAGTGATTCCAGGAGACGCCGTGATGGTCTTCTTCTGCGACCAAAGATCGAATATCCAAGATCCGGTGTCAGGTCGGTTTCTTGGTGGCTTGGATTAACCACTGGAGGTGTCTCCTCCTGACGCTCAGATGGCGCTTTCTCTCGCCCATTCGACGGAGCTAAAGGCGATGCAGGTGGTGTTGGCAGCCCGCTGGCTGAACTTGGCATTAATGGAAAGACAGGTGATGGAGGAGCATTGTCCGGGAGGTCGTTGCCTGTTTCCCCCTCGATGAGTGGCGCCACAGGGGTCCTCTCATCGAACTCGACATCACGGGAAAATACTGTCTTTCCTGAATGAATTTCAAAGAGCTTATACTGATTCGGTTCACAATAGCCTAGCAGTCGGCATTCGGACGATCTTGGTCCGAGTTTTGCTCGATGCTCTTTGGGTATCAAAACCCACGCGCGGGAGCCGATTCGTCGCAGATGCAAAAGTGAGGGCGACTTCCCGTACAATATTTCAAACGGTGTTTTCTTCTGTAAAATCGATGCTGGGGCGCGCAGCTTCAGATAGACTACCGTGTCTACAAGCTCGATCCACCAGGAAGGAGGAAGGTTCGCATCGGACAGGAGCGTGTTGATCCGCTCCCGGATAGTACGATTAGTGCGTTCGGCCAGTCCATTCTGCCCTTTGCAGTATGGCGGCGAGGTATCAAACTCAACTCCCTGGGATTCGAGATGTGTTCTAATTGGCAGATATTCTCTCCCGTTATCGGTGAGGAATCGTCTAATCTGGGCGCCGAACTGTCGGTGCACCCAGGCCTCAAAATGTTGGAACTTCTGGAGCGCTTCATGCTTCCATCTCATGGCATAGGCCCACGAGCCACGAGAATAATCGTCAGTAAAGGTGATCACATACCTGGAGCCATCTTTGGCAACGGGCATCTCCATGATGTCCGAATGAATCAATTCGAAAATTCTCGTTGAATGCAGACGTGGCCGTCTTGCACGGGAGTTCCTCTTCTGATGCTGCTTACCCGACATGCACGCCGGGCACTGCGGCGTTGCCAGCAGCTGCGCCTGCGTCAGCGGTCGGTACGGAGTGCCGGTCTGCCGGAGGACTACCCTCAAGTCGCCCCGGTTCAGATGTCCCATCCGAGCGTGCCACAATGCTTCGGAGGCCTGGTCCACTCCTTTGCACGCATCTTCTTCGAGTATCACAGCTTCACCACCGAGTTCAGAGGTTGACGTTGCGCATTCTGCGTCACTTGACTCCCGAGGCTCGTCGACGTCCATGGCCACCGCCTGCGGTTCCAGGGAATCTGCATGGTCATGGGTCGTCGGCGCCCTCGCCAGTTGGACTCGCTCTCGAGATCTCTTGCTCACATGGCACCGCAGGATCAATAGATCCTCCTCCGCATGGTAGGCGGTCCCCACGGTTCGTCCTCGGCGTTGCACAAAGACGTTCTGCGGGTGCGCCACCACCGAGTAGCGGTCGCGCAACAGCTTCGGCACGCTGATCAGGTTCATCCCGACGCGTGGCGCGAAGTACACGTTCTTCAACACCAGGGGCTGGTTGAAATTCCCCCGGAGCGTGAGCTTCACCGTACCAATCCCTTCGGCTTCCACTGGATCGCCCGCCGTATCCAGCATCTCGCGGTGGGGCCGCAGACTGCTGAAGCAGCTCCGGTCCCAGCAGACGTGGCTGGTGGTGGCCGAGTCCAGGATCCACCGGGGTTGCGGTGCGTGGGTATAGAGAGTCGTCACTCTCGCCCTCACGATATTGATCCTCGGTCTCTTGGAAGTCGGCGGGCCCTGCCGATCTTCCACCTGGCTTGCTGGTATCATTTGTAAATTATTTCTTGGTGAGCCGGAAACACTCCTCTCGGCCTTCAGGGCATGGTCCCTGGACGGCTGAGCTTCTCGCTGTTTCTTCCAGCACTGCGCGACCACATGGCCGCGCTTCTTGCAATAGTTGCATTTCTTGGCAGTCTGCTGCACCGTATTGACGGACGGGCCAGACGCTGCTTGTAAGGGGGTTGGAGCTTCTTTTCTCCGAACCGTCTGTTCTGCATTTGACAGACGGTTTCCGATCGTGGTCGGATTCACCGGATCTTTATCATTTTGGATGGCATCCACAACCAGAATGTATTCCGGTCCGATCTGCGTCAGTAAGATCGCAATGTGCGTTCGATCGCCAATGGATCCGGGCACGATAGCATTCAATCGATGTACGAGCAACCGTACCCGATCGACAAATTCGCGGGCACTGCCGCAGCGCTCTCCAGTGGTTTCACGGAGCTGCGCAAATAGCTCGCACAACGTGGCGAGTTCCATTCGCCGGTACCGTTCTTCAAGTTCATTCCAGAGGTCGCGAGACGTCTCTAGTCCCGCGACACGGATGCTAATGTGGGGGGACAGATACCGGAAAATGGTATGGTAGGCCTCGGCTTCGCGGCGCGACCATTCACGGTGGCGCTCGAACGCCTGGACCTCCACTTCGAGGCGCGCTTCAATGGCGCGTTGCCTCACCGCCCCAGCGAGGTGCGGATCCACCAAGGGGTGGATGTCTGCCGTAATAGGCTTGGCGTACTTAAACAGACAGTCGGGACGCTGGAGGTCGCCCGACACGACATCCCAGACCTGCCTGGCTTTGAGGTAGGAGGTCATGAGACGTTTCCAGGTTGCATGATTCTCGCTTCCTGTTAGAGGCTCGATAGCCGTGACAGCTCGGTCCGGAGAGTCATGGACCAGAGCAGACATAGTGATGATTGCGAAAGCGGGGTAGATATATAATCAAGATGGTTAAGATAATTCTCAGATGAGTAGAGATGGCACCCGAGATTTTGCTTCCGGGCTCATAACCTGTTGTAGTTCAAAGGAAGATTTTTTTTTTTTATTCTTTTTATTCAAAGGGAAACATGAGGCTATATATACAACGAGAAGATCAAGATGATTGGAAATCATCTTGACTCTTCGTATACATACTTCGGAATCAATTCCGATGGTTCGGCTTGGTTCCTGATCGGCACCAGCCTCATATCACAACACTGAGTAGTAACGGTGCGCTGTCTTAGTCGGCAAACTGATCAAGTCCGTCTGATCAGAGTCTCCCTAAGACCTGGGTGTTTGGCTGTGTAGTTGGATTGTATACTCTTGGCAACTGGTTGTCAAGCGAAGTGCAAATAGTAGAAACAATATTCGGTCTTGTTGTGATATAAGGCTGGTGCAGATCAGGAACCAAGCCGTCCCATCGGAATTAATGCCGAAATATCTATACGAAGAATCAAGTTGATTTCCAATCAACTTGTTCTATTCCAACCATTGCTACGCTGATACAAGTGGAGACGAATGGAATTCTTTTGGCCCACACGGGGCACCTGCAGTCTGAACACTGACGATGTAGGCCTCGTTGACGGAGGGCTACAGCGCCGTGAGGGCTGCAGGCGGGCCCGTGGCACTCCGTGTATTCTAGGAGGAAACATAGCTTATACAGGAGGATACGTGGTACATACAAGAGGGTTCCGCGGTGGGCGGGAAGAAACCGTTGCGGCGAGAGCCCGGCTCTCACTCGAAACAGCGATGTCCCTTTCGAGGGAGGGGATATCCAAGTGATATTTGTGTGCGATGTCCCGCACGGAATATCGTGGACCCGATGCAAGGGGTTCTCACAACAGTCCCGAATAGAACCTATCATTTATTTCTCTCCTTCTCGATACTGAACATAATACCCACTATGGCCGAGCTCCCACAAGACATCCAATATTGGAATAACTCTATTAATTTTACTGCACTACTCGAGTTGAATAAGAAGTTTCTCCGAGGTAAAATTTTATCGTCTCCTTATCACTACGGCCCTATTGAGGAGGAGACACATAGTCTTGTTCCTTCTTTGTTGAAGCTTCATGAGCGGCAAGTTTTTACGTGGTCCAGTCAACCATATTTATGCGAACGCAAGAGGGGAGACGGACGCAAATATTACGACCACCGGCAACGATCTTTCATCTCCTTTATTGTGGCCGAGAAAAACAATCCGCGGAGACTCTTTCACGAGTTGAAAAAAAATAAAAATATCAAAGTTCACGCACGGAAGGTTTTCTCGCCTGAAGCCGCCTTACACGATCATTCACTAAGGAAAAGATTGTTACCAAATATCGACGTCCGTTTTTTTGGCGGCGATGGAAAGTTTTTACCGCCGTTGATCCAGCGGCAGATATCGCAGAGGAGGACATTTTCTGCCTGGAAGCTATGAAGCAAGCAGAACCATGGGAATTCGAGGTTGTCGCAGCTTCGTGGAAGGATGTCGATATTACGGGGATTGTCATAGACGCAGTTGATGCAGCACAGGCATGATGAGCAACCACTGTATGCACTGTAATACTTTATTTCACAGTACAGTGGTAGCAGTAGGCTGTACGTTCTTATTCTCCAATACACGTGTCTTCACTCCGAACAAGTAATAACGCTTATTTGTAGAAACAGGTCTGTAATTTCATCAAAGCCCCAAGTCATCGCTCAGTAAAAATTATATACTTTTTCTCAAGTCATCACTCGTCTATAATCCATCACTTACCCACGTTGACCTCTAATGTGTGCATTATCTCACCCAAGCCCCAATATTTGCTTCTGCTTGGTCACGCAATCTCACAGTAAATCAAGAGCTTGGGTTGTATGATCTGAGGATTTTCAGGTGAAAGCCATACTGGCAATGCTCGGCATTGTGTCAGGATGATCCTCGCCGAGTTTCGTCTTGCGACCCTCCATCACCTGCACTCCGAGCTGCTCGGTCTCCTCCCACCGACCCTGGTTCCGGTACGTTGCCCAACCTTCGTCTTCCTTTCACCTCCGTCCAGCTATCCTCTGATATTAGGCGGACTGGTATCCCAGCCAGCTTCACGAAGGAGAAAAGTCTCTCCATCTTGGTCGCTTTGCATGCCCCGGATCTGTAAAATGAATGATTTTACATTCTCTGGGTTCCTAGAGCGAAGTCTAGCCACAGTGTAGAGCAATGCTTGATGCAACATAGACGTTCCTATGCTATGTGATTTGCGCCTGCGATCACTGCCATAGATGCATTGACAACCTTTCGTGGTACATTTCGAACATGGAGTTGTACCAGAACACTAGATCCTGTCAGCACATGGATATGAAAATTTTGTGAATTTCTTACCCTTGTTCGTTTTTGGCGACACTCTGTGCACGCAAGAGAGACATTCTGTCGCTTTTCAACGGATGCACGTGGTATCTCTGATTGAGAGGATGAACCTTTTTCTATCGGCCGCAATAGCCGCAAGGAGGTTTTTTCTGTCATAGCGAAAGATCGAGACTCATGAAGTTTGTGGAAAATATTATTCTTTGTAGATGTCCATAGTTAAAAGGGGGGTGATTCGACGGAATTAAATGGTCAATTCGCAGTGCTGGTTCTCTTTGTTTGCTAGACAAAGAATCACCTTGGCGGCATCTTTGAAATAAAGAGACCGGAAACCCGTGACCACTTATGATACCAGTCCTATGCACATTCCCGATTCTGGCCTCAACGCTTGAAGTCTCAGTAGCAAACAAAGAACTCCGACGGCACAACATTTCGGCTTGCCAGCCTCGATTTGGCGGCATACGATTGGATACTTCCATCCGTGTTGGTAGAGGTACGTACTTTAATTGGACAAGGTCTTCCGGCTACCCATGCACTAATTATCTTAGCCCGTTTGATGGATATTGCGACGCTAGTTAGTGATTGATCATTGAGAAAACTCGGGATGGCACGCTTGCTGCGGCCAGCAGCCTGTGCCATTTGCGATACAGATAATACTACGCTGCTGACGATGTCATGTATACTCTCGTGCTTCGAAGGGGGCTAGGAAAGGCGCCATTCGTGTGACCACTCGTACGTAATTGGTAATCTGCACCTACTAAGGGTGACGTTCAAATTTAGCCCTGTTGCTCTCTGTCCTGCCACATATGCAAATGAACAGGCATCCGCCTGTCTGGCTTGTTTGCTGGATCAACATCCTAGACCACCTGAAGACCTTACGAGTCGAGTATTGCCTAGAATGGAACAATCGTAGATTGTTTGTCATTCGTTGTTAATTCCTTCGAGTATGTCGACAATGGTGATGCTGTATCCAGGATTCGCCCGTAAAGCCGCATTTTTGATCGTTAAACAACAAAATAGGCTTTTAAGGTTATTGTATGAGCATAGTTGATGGTGCGTAAAGTAATTAATAATAAAAACAGAAACATGAATAACGCTTCAACAGCCCTTAAACTACAGCACGTGCAAATAAGCCACAGTATTTGGATTTACCCAAGGACCACCTTTTTTGACTGTTGAGCATCAAGGGGAAAACTGAATATTGTCAGTTGATCAAAATTAAACAGTCTGAAAAAAGCAAACGCGATACTTGACCGTCAACGGCTAAGAAATACAGGTATGCTCGCCCGGGCAGATTTCACCATCTGGCATTTCCACCAGAAACAGTGTTTGATGGAATCTTAGTTAAACGGTTGTTTTTGGTGGGGCTAGTGGAAAACCACATGTTGCTGCGTTGATGTGAGTTCTCTGAACACGTAATCACGGTCGAAAAGCATATACCAATTGGGTGGGTCACGTATGTGTACTTGTCTGGTATTCTCTAGTCTCCACCACAGCAGTTTAACATGTGGTACGCTGACTAATAAAGTTGATTACATGATCATTGTTCCGACAGTATTTCTCTAAAGCAATTTATTGGAATTTAAAGCCAGTGACACTAGGCAACAACAGGATAATGGCACATTCAGTAAAAGGTGCTGCTTTTAGTACTTAAATTATTTTAGATACATAAATAGATTTTGCGTCAAGGAATTAGCCTATTCCAATCAGTAGTTCTATTGGGTATAGCTGTTCAGCTGTTCTGCTTCGAAGAGCCAAAAGGTGGTTAGCATGGTTGTTTGCTGGACAGTAATAGAGTATCATAGTACCTTGGTTTGTGGGGGTTTACATGTACTCCGAGAGAGCAAATGACGAACCCAAGCCGATCTTGCTTCACGTGCATTGATTGACAGAGTTGCATTCGGCGCTAGAAGGTCGAACCCATGGAACCCGCCAGACCAGACATGCAATTCAGCCTGGACTCCGCTTTTCCAGAGAAGGGTCGCGTATGCAATGGCTTCGTCTCTGAAAACTTCGGCTGTGCCAACATCGATGAAGGCTGGGGGGAGTTTGGAGAGGTCAGTAGCTCGCTAAGGGGCAGCGTATATGCTGATATTTTCCTGTCCACATCGTTCACCCAACAGACACTTCCATCCAGTCTGATTGCTGTCTCGACTCCAAGTACCTTCGTCAACATACTGCTGGCTCGAAACTGTAACGTTGCGATCGTCTAGCATGGGACAAATGAGCACCTGGGCACATAGCAGCGGTCCACCGCGATCTCTAGCCGCCAGCGCTGTCCCTGCTGCCAGTCCTCCTCCAGCAGATGATCCCGCAATCATCAGACAATCTGGATTGATCTCAAGGCTCTTAGCATTCATGCTGGTCCACTTAAGTCCCGCATAGCAGTCTTCAATTGGTGTCGGGTCCGGATGCTCGGGAGGAATTCGATACTCAATTGACACGCAGACCATATCAAATTCTTCCGCCCAGTCGAGAATCACACCAATCCCGAGGAATCGATTACCTGCGATCATTCCGCCACCGTGGGTGTAGAAAATCGCTGGACGATTTTCACATCTTGCTGAGGAAGCCGGCCGAATTGTCATTGGTGCCTGTCGGAATATTGACACTTTTAAATCCGAACTGCCGCCAGAACCGAGTATGTTGCGCTCTTCATGCGAAATTTCTCGGCCCGCGAGGGCATCATCAACAGTAGGGCTTGATTTTTTCCGCACTCCTTCGATATGTGCTGTTGTGACTGTAGGCGTGAAATTGAATCTGCTTATGATTGGCTCCAGTTCGGGGTCATACGGCGGCCGAGGGAGACTGGAAGGCGTTGTTCTTTCCGTAAATGATTTTCTGATTGGACGTGCAGAGAAGAAAATTTATTTTTGATCTTTAGTCTAAGTCGGATGACCAAGTATATATTTATATATATATTCCATAAGTGCAATCACAGAAAGGATGCCAAGAAGCATAACTGGAACATCTCCGCTAACTTTAGTCTATGTGGAACCAATTATTTATCTGCTCGCGTTCGTGTTCGCGTTCGAGGTCCATGTCGAGTTCGTCTTCGTCTTCATCTTTCCAGCAATTTAGGTTGAAAAAATCTTGTCGGATATGCCACATCATCAAAAAAAAGCCTAGTCCACTATAGATGAATGGTTTTTGCTCTTTTGCTAGTGTCTTGGCATTGAACGATGACTCCTATTATAGTGTCTGAAGTACTAAATGATTCTAAATTGATCTGACAGAATGCCTCTTGACGCTCCAGCACCCACATTCACCTTCTGGGTTATAGTATTTCACAAATAGAGATTGCTTTCTTCACGTTCTCGGCCCAGCTCCGAATATACCCCCCGAAACGTCGGGCAATCCCCCGCTTGATTCCTTTGCTGGTGAAGAATTCTGGGTATTGATCTTGGTAGACCTGCTCTAGGTCAAGGCCATCTTCAAGCATCACATCACATGCTTGTCGAAATGCAACTTCGAGGGTGTCATTGGTGACATTTGACTCCTGCCACTCACCATATTCCTCGAGAGCTACGTCTCTTGGCCCGGGAATATCCAGTCGGCACATACTATTCGAGTCAACAGCCTTGTTGACACCTGTAACGTCCAATCCAGAGGCGAGAGACTGCGAGAACAGAACATTGATGTTGATAGGGGGTAAGTTGCTCCCGGTCCAAGGGAGTTACCTCCCTTGGGCTTGTCTCTTTCAAGTCTTTGTTGCTCCGCCACTGATTGACGGTGGAACCCACATCGTTACTTTGAAGGCCATGACTGAGGAAGGCCGACACATTAGACTAGACAACAAACCTACTACAAGAAAAATAAATCGAGGACAGATCTATTGACCTAAACAATGGAGCACTTCCTCATATCGAACCACTAGTGTTCGATCCGGTGGATTCCGGTGGGCTCCGGCCGACTTCAGGTGAAGACGAAACCATAGTACCCATCTATCTATATAACTACGAGATCTGCCATTACCTTCACTTGCTAGATTCACCCAGAGTTGAGTCATTATGTCCGACCTAAATAAGGTATTCGAAGATGAGATTGGCTATACTTTCTCTTCTCAAACTCTCTTAGATGAGGCATTACAATCGCCTGGAGATACTTCCGACGGGGAATATTCGGCAGGGAACAAAAGACTTGCACTCGTTGGGGATTCTGTTTTAGCCCTTATGCTTCTAGACCGCTGGTATAGGGGGGTAGCAGTACCCGTATGTATATATCTTGTCTCTCAAAGAATACTAGAACTAATTCGCGAACGTGCATGTAACAAAACACTGAGTGCGAAAGGTTAACAATGGTCTTTGGATGAATTCATTGAAACGAATCAGTCTCAGAAAGGAAAAGTACCAAGAGGTACACGTGCAACCACAGTGGAAGCAATAATAGGCGCCGTGTGGGTTGACTCTGGAAAAAATGCGTCTCAAGTCAATCGTGTGATGGAAAATATGGGCCTTCTCAAATGAAATATCAATTGACGCTATATCCACGAATCTTGAAGCTCCAGCTAGGCCTGAGTTTAATCTATAAGGGGTCAATGGAGCTTACTACATTTTATTGTGAGCGTCTTTCCCAGTAAACTGTGGGAAATGCGGTAATGCAGAAATTGGCAAAAATGTACAGCCGATGGAGCCGGTACCTGCCCAGCGAGATGCTGCCCCAGCATGAATATGTATCGGGCTATGGCGTACATATAGTAAAATCTTTGAAGGCATTTTTCAATTTGCTCGGGTTGCTCAAAGGGGGTAGACGGGGTCGGAGTGTTAAATGATTTTGAAAACGACGGTTAAAGTCTGCTTGCACAACTGTGTTTGGTACCGTGGGTTGCACGGGCCTCTCAGGAGTTGGGCTCGGTGCGGGAACGATAATGGGCCGCTCAGTAGGAGAGGGTTGGTCGTCGGCAGGTAGATTTGGAGTCTCTTAAGTACTTTCTCGGCTGCTCTGTGACTGCTGGGGTTCTGACTGCTGGGGTTCTGCTTCCTTTGTCCTCGTTCGTCGCTGGAAGATAGAGCGAGGGTTGACGAGGTCGGTGAGGCCAGCAGTAGCCAGCTGTGCTGTGAATTGATCGCTTCGGCGGAAGGCAGACGTGCTTGCCAGGAAGTTCTCAACGGCCTTTCGTAGCTTAGAGCGATAGTGTACCCATTATATCTCTTCTCGCTGATTAGGCGAGGTAACCATCTGCTTAAGAGCAGGGATCGGTCTAACCGGGGCATGCTGCCATTTGATAGAGTAATTGAAGCTGGGCTCTTATTGAATGCTATCTAGAGCTATTTAAAGATAGGTTGGTCATGTGGCTGACCGCCTCTGATACAGGTAACACCAATGCTCCGTATTTTCTACTCAACCTCGTAGTGAAACTCAGCCCGAGCCTTGTTTGCCAATCTGATGGCCTGCTCCCTGCTCTCTTTGCTTATAATAGAAAAGAGCGCTAAAAAGTCCAATTTACTGGCATGTGCCCCGTCCAGTCTACTACCTTTCGGATAGAAGCACTTGTAATCCGGAACTGCCGGTCTCAGTTCCTCAACCCTCTCGATCAACTCCTTTGCCGGATCTTCTGTTTTTAGGATGCCTTCCTTGTCTGCCCCTATTGCCAGCAGTGCAAGCCACCACTGCGGGCCATCCTTAAAAGGTTGAGCAAAAATGCGGACACGTTCCATGTCACCCACTGCGTAGAGAAGTTGCAGCGCATAGTAATCCACCCCATATGTCATCGACGTTGCGACGGACCAAGCGTAGCCAGGCGGACGGGCATTGACTTCATGAAGAAAGAAGGTCGGTTGTTGGCAGTTGCTCTGCTCATTGACGTACAGATCCTCGATCCCATTCTTGACCGTATAGCTCATGCTAGAGTATCTCATACGGCCTTCACAATGCAGAATTCCGTTCCTGAATCCTTGCCTCAAGACTGTTTGATGCACGGAGTTGCGGATGATATCTACCTCGGCTTGGGGCAAACCTGTTGGTAGTAACATGGACGTTTCTTGGAAGTTGGCTTTCCAATCGGTTCCTTGACGATCACCTGACTTGGGAAAGTCATCAGACACTTCAAAAAATACAATCTCGCCATCCAGTAACACCACATTCGCATCCACTTCAGGTCCTTCAATGTATGGTTCAATCATCACGTCAGCGCTATCCTTTTGGTCGGTACGCCGCGGATCGAACGCCTTTTCGACAGCCTGCACGAGCTTCTGAAACAGTCAGAATCCTAAAAAGCGATAAAATGTAGTAGACTGCTATCTGTCTATCTAGTGGGTGGGTTGCGTTGCGAAGAGACAGAAAGCCCAAAGCTGGGAACAAAGAAACTTTTGTGTGCTGAGTACTAATACTGGGTCTGAAATGCAGTATCGCAAGCCAGAGCCTGCCATGATATATTCAAATACTCTGAAAGTACCTGGTATTGTTGAAGACCCCAAACTGCTGAACATCTTTGCACCGACCTCTGATATCGAGGACCTAGAATCCGACGGAAATTTCGGAACCCCATATTCTCATACGCCATTTGAAATCCCGTTGGTCAGCTTCCCAAAACCTCCTGGTTTTTCCTGTTTTGCGATCGCTGCCGAAACAAAACCCAAATACGGCTTGCTAGGCTGCAAAACTCGCGACAGATACTCCGGATGGTACTGCACACCTACATACCAGGGATGATCTTTGAGCTCAATGACTTCCATACGAACATCTTCTTCATCTTTGCCAATAAAATGGAGACCGGCTGCGCTGAGACGCTCGACGTACTCGGGGTTCACTTCATACCGATGACGATGGCGTTCGTAGATAACTTTCTTTCCCCCGTACAATTTCCGTAATTGAGACCAGTCACTTCCATCTTGGAAGACAGTTGGTCGACTGCCGAGTCTCATTGTTCCACCCATATTCGCTCGGTCAATCTCTGGCATGAAAATAATAACCGGCTCTGAACAATCGGGTGATAGCTCGATTGAGCCCGCTTGACGTATATCGCACATGTGGCGTGCAAACTCGATGACTGCGATCTGCATACCTAAACATATTCCTAGATACGGAGTTTTGCTTTCTCTGGCCCATTGGGCAGCTGCGATCATCCCTTCGGTGCCTCGTACACCGAATCCACCAGGCACAAGAATACCGTCTGCTCCGCGAACTTTGGTCCAAGCCTGGTCGTAGTCTGCTTTTGAAGATGCTAGCGTGGCCTCTTCCAAGTGCGAGGCGTCGACAATAAGAAGGTTGAGCGTGTGCTGCCGATTCATCACGGAGTGCTCCAATGACTTGAGAACGGATATGTAAGAGTCCATGAAGCCAGTGTATTTACCGACCAGAGCGATTGTTACGCTCCGAGAAGAGATATCTCGAGAAGACGTTAAGGCTTTCCAATCTCTCCACATATCAGAGCCAAATTCGATCAATTTCGGAGGCTTCGTCAGGAGATCAAGACGGAGTACTTTGGAGATTGATCGGAGTAGGCCTTGGTCTTCCAACAGTGCAGGGACGAGATAAGTGGATGGGACATTGTGAACAGCGATGATTTCAGCTGGCTGCACATTGCATGACGAAGCAACTTTTTCTATAGTTGATTTCGCCAGCGGCACTTCGCAGCGGCATGCAATCTTGCGTAAATTAGTATAGCTAAATTCACGAGACGAAAAATATGTGCTTACCAGATCAGGTTTCAGACCAGTAGAAAGCACATCGCGCATAGCCGCTTGCGTCGGCTTTGTCTTTTGCTCCTCATTCATTATTACAGGAACCAAGGTCACCAACATGTGCAGCCATTGGTTCCCTCCAACTCTCCCTCGCAAGCGTCTCAGAGATTCCAGAAAGGGTGCATTTTCTATATCCCCTGCCGTTCCACCAAGCTCAATCACGCACACGTCCGGTGTTTGGTTTGTCTCGTCAACTGGCGCCCGCGCTACCCGCTCTATCCATTTCGCGATCGCGTCAACAAGATCAGGAACGATCTGAACGGTCTTGCCCAAATAATCGCCGCGACGCTCGGCTTGAATGATATGCTGATAAACTTTGCCAGTAGTGATATTATGCTCCCGAGATAACGTGATTCCCAGGTAGCGCTCATAGTTCCCCAAGTCGAGGTCGGCCTCACCACCATCATCAAGGACAAAGACTTCGCCATGTTCGGTAGGTGCCATAGTGCCTGCATCGACGTTTATATAGGGGTCAATCTTGATCATTGTCACGGTTAAACCCATGGTCTTGAGAAGTAGGCCAGTGCTAGATGCTTTTGCACGATGAGTACATTTTTGTGACATGCTTTTCCACGTAGAGTGCTTACCAATGATGCCTTTTCCAACACCGCTAACGACACCTATATTTGGCTTAGATAAGTGTATGACAGTCTAGGGGCTCTAGCGGCCTACCTCCTGATACTAAAATGTACTTCATCTCGTGCATACCGACTTTTGGTCAAAATGTTCAATTTGAGGGGCGGGACAATGGCCGTTTTATTTCTGACCAAATTCAGATCCGGTGCCATATGAGCTGCTCTTTATTGGAACAAGCGGTGTGGAAATATCTGGCTCCGTCTTTTTTCCCGGAAATCGGCTTCTCCTCGGCGAGATAGGGTAGCAGTCGCTTCGCACGAGACCAATCAAATAACAAGAGGCTACTAGGATCACAAATTAGTGGATTTTTCATTAGTAAAAAACTGCTTAATAGGAATTTAATTAGTAGTAATGATAGGGTACCTTCGCTGAAAGCAGAAAGCACTCTAAGTGGGTCAAGCACCAAGGGTTGCTCGGTATTTTACGGAGTGGCAAGGGATAAACATCCTGCATAACACCATCAAATACGTAATCTTGCAAGGTAGTGTAGTGTGGGGGTGGTCGAGTATTTGGATTTTGTTGGATCCCCTGTATTGTGGTATTATGGTCCCGCCCTAGTACGCGCTAGTCATGCATTATGGTTGGAGGTGTTTCTATAATACTGGGTCGCGACCCACAGAACTGCATCGACAATGATAGTAACATGCATATGCTACAAGGAATCTGGCCTAAGATGGACCATAATTAATTTTATAAAAACAATCGGACGACTGAACAACTGATTGGCAGCTGATTCTTACTCATTTCAAGTTGATCAATAAGAGCCGCGCGATCGTTATTCCTCATGGTTATAGCTTTGTGCTGGCCCAATTCTACCGCACATAACAGCACGCCATGCGGACCGCACTTTCTGTGAACGTCATAGAGAAATTCACGATACTTTTGACGACTTGGAGAATGTTGCTGTTTCTCTAGCACTGCAACAGCCTCGCGAGCGCGGGTTTGTTTGCTGAGCATCAGTACACCTCGCACTTGCAAAATGCGTGCCGCATTGACAATGTTCACGTATGCCTCATTGTATGTGATGGCTTTGCGGGGTGCCCGCTGCCTTTGTCGGCTTGGAGACATTGGTCTACTCGATAGCCTCGTACGCCTGAAGGCCTCTGGGCAAAAGGGCGAGGCGTGGAATAGAGGTAAAATCAAAATGGAAAAATAAGGCGAAGTTTAAAATGAAATATGGAAGAGAAGGTGGAAGAATGGAGAGGAATGATTGAGGAACACCATCTCACACTACTGACCAACTTGCAGCAGTTGGTACCGACTCGTTATCCATTTGAAAACGATTCTGGCCTATTTTAATAATCAAATGACAAATGCTTATCTATAGACTTTTCCTACATAAACAATAATAAATTACCTGTGGATTCGCCTGAAAATCAACGCAAATACAAGCAATAAATCTCATTCCCGTGCTAGATGCGCTAAAAAATCGGACCTCATGTAGTATTCCCCTGGTGCCCCACCTCTCCCCGATTGGTTGATCTTCACATTGCTAAGCATTTAATTGACTTTATTAGTTTATGTTGCGGGAAGCGGCGAGGCAGCCATCTGGTAAGGTGCATTTACCAACCAATCAAGACCCTTACGGCCCGCTTTGCGTGCTTTTTGCTTTTAGCGACATGACACTATCATTAGTACGTGGCTAGCTTGCATTTTGTATGTTGCTGATTACAGTAACATGTCGCGTGCTACTGCACCCACCTATACGAAATCGGATTGGCTTAGTGTTAGCGCCCAAGACGCCGAGCCCTGAGACTCGATGATCCTCAGGATTAGAAGGTAAAGAGCGAACGTACGGGTAGACGGAATTGATTGCTACTCGAAGCTATCTAAACAAGTGCGTGGGAAGAAGAAGAAAGAAAAAAGGAAACCAAGAGGCAGAGAGACAGAAAAGGCATAACCACACACAGCCTCACTTCTCGCCCGCACTCGAGAGCCTGGGCGGGGGCCTAACCCCTTAGTGTGCTTTTTGCTTTTAGCGAAATGACACTACCAGTAGTACGTGGCTAGCCTGCATTTTGTATGTTGCTGATTACAGTCACATGTCGCGTGCTGCCGCGCCAACCCATGCGAGATCCGGTTGGCTTGGCCCCCTGCATATGGGTCTGCAGCCCCGATCATGGAAAATTTTGTACAGGGGGCGCAGATTCAAAGACGAGTATCCTTTAATCTGCCCCATGTACTATTAATTAATTAGCTGCAGCGTAAGATATGCTCGATATCTTCTGGTCCACAACCATTGCTGTAGTATGCCAGTCCTCCACACCTCGGTCTTTATAACTCCAGTCTGACCGCAATAGAACTCCTACAAGCACATATCTGGCCAATTTCACCATCTAATGCGACGCTACCCAATAGATTGATTAGTCAAATCAGAGGCAAAGCCACCCTGCAACCGCAATGCCAGGCCCCGGTAAAGATTCCGCGGTCATAGTGAATCATACCGCAAATTCTACATTTTCAAGCGACGAACGTCATGATGCGACAGAAGACGAAATCAGAACCCTTCAACACGTTCCCGATGACAAGCTGCCTCGCACTGTTTGGATAGCATTGGCTATTAGTGCAGCAGAGCGATTCACGTTCTGGGCTATAACCACGCCATGGCGTAAGGGCTTAAATATTCCTGTTGTCGCACTGGAGCTTACCAAATATAGAAAATTACATGCAAAATAGCCCAGATAGCGCTATTAGGGGGGCTTTGGGCCTGGGGCAGTCCACTGCAACTAATATCTCGAACGCTTTCTCCCTCTTTTACAGCCTGGTTCCAATACCCATTTCGATTGTCTCGGATGCCTGGCTAGGGAGGTACAAGACTTTGTGGATCAGTATCATGTTTGTGCACCTTCGAAATACGCTGTTCGCTCACACTGACGGTCATCAGTTTCTACTTGTGCGGTTGTCTAGTGCAACTGGTTACTTCCCTACCCATAGTTCTGGATCAGGGAGGCGGCATCCTTGGATTAGCCATCGCAATGTTTTTGATCGGGATAGGACTTGGGGGTGTCAGGTCGACAATTTCCCCCTTTATTGGTTTGTTTGCGCATCTTGAAGGGATGGATAATTTAGCTAATTGTATACAGGGGACCAGTATCCGGTCATTCCTACCCAAGTGAAGATGAACAAGAACGGGGAGCGAGTTATCATAGATCGGACGCTCACCCTTCAATACATCTATAATGTCGCTTACTGGTAATTTTATTGCACAGATGGATGACAATATTTGCTAAAGACTCTATAGGCTCTTGAATATCGCGGGGCTATCGGTTATCCCGTCAACATTTCTCGAGAAGAAGTGTGGATTCTGGGCTGCCAACCTGCTTGCATTTGGCGCTTTTTGGATCATTCCTATTCTTTTGTTGGCCTTTAACAACCAATTTGGTATGTCGATTGAAAGGTGGCCTTGATCTTGCGACTAACATCCTTGAAGTGAAAACCCCAGTTCAGCGTAACGTCCTCATCAATACGAGCAAAGTATTAGCCTGCTCGGCACGCAGCAAATTCAAGATTGGCGCGGCAAGGCCACAGTACCAACTTGAGAAACACAACCGTATCGTATCCTGGAGCGACCACTTCGTTACTGAGCTCCAGATTGGCCTACTAGCATGCCGAGTCATGTATGCATTCTCTCCCTTCCGCTTCTTTGACCCCGGATTTTCTCCGCTTCTTCCTACCCCATCTAACTCTTACATAGGGCATGGTTTGTCATCTTCTACCTCGGCATCAGTCAGATTTCCAACAACCTTATCTCACAAGCTGGCCAGATGCAGCTTACAGGCTTCCCTAACGACGTCATCCAAATCCTCAATCCCATCGCTTGTATAATCCTTGGGCCATTGATCCAGAATTACCTCTACCCATCTCTTAACCGTTACCGCATTTCCTTTGGCCCTATCGCGCGCATGGCTGTGGCGCTCCTGACCATGGCCGCTAGCATGGCATACGCCGCCGGAGTGCAAAAGCTGATCTACAGCCGGGGGCCCTGCTATGACAATCCTCTTAAATGCCCCGCAGCTCTGCTTGATCCTACAAAGGCCCCGGTACCTAACAATATTGTAGTCTGGGTGCAGGCTCCTACATATGTGCTATTAGCCGTTTCAGAGATCCTTGGCTTCGCAACGCTTAGCGAGTACAGCTACAACAAGGCGCCACGGCACCTGCGGACGGTAGTACAAGCCATGAGACAGGTTACGGCAGCAGTTTCTTATGCGCTGGGTATGGCGCTCAGCCCGGTATCTGAAAACCCCAAGGTCCTATGGATGTACGTCGGAATAGCTGCTAGTCTTGTATTGATAGGGGTGGCGTTTTGGGTGGTTATGGGGCACTATGATCGGGTAGACGAAGATTTGAATACGCTCAACTTAAAAAGCGAGGAGAGTGGAGAGAAGGTTTCCGTGAGAGAAGAACTTCCTGCAAATACGGAAGTGAACGTACAGGAGAAAGATGAAATCCGACCTTCGCAGGTGATTTGATCCTTGCTCCTCAACAGTTGGCGTTGGCTGCACCTGGCAGTCCTTAGTCGCGGCCCTGCCTTTGGCGTGTCTGTTAACATTTCCCCTAATGAGTTGGTGATGCTGAGTCAACAGATCCTCAATGGCGTCCGACTTTGGGGCTTGCCTTTTTCACAGATATGCAATGCATCCCAGAATGTTTATGAACTAGGCTATGTGTAGGTAGAGCATTCTTGATTAGGCGTGCCTATCACAGAAGAAAACTTCGTTCAGTCTATGTATGAACAACCTTGCCTCTTGAATCCTATGCGGTAGGCTGGTCTGCCATTCCGTCAATTCGCCTATTTTTTCAAAAGGAAGTACCACTTCAAGAGCTGCAAATATAAAAGGTGTTCCGATTCGTTCCTTTTGCTTACGTTGCCCCACTCCCTTGCTTTGTCTTTCCGCGAGCTAGCGTCATCAACAATTCCCTCCCTCCCGCTCCCTCGATCAAGAAGCCCCTTCCAAGTTAGTTACCCCAGTCGAAGTAAGAAAATCCCGATAATCTGTAGGATTCACGAATGGGAGCGCCGAATCAGAATTATCTGACCGTCATCGTAGCTCATACCTACAATAGCGTCAAGGGGTAATCGAATGCGGTGCATATGAGTCTACTTAGGGTGTCGATAACACATCGTACTTTGCACGTATACTTAAAGGACTGTTTGGCTTTGAACACTGTCAAGTGTAACTGAATATTTTCTGCCTTTGTAGGAAATAAAGCTACTGCTCAACCTCGTAATGAAACTCGGCCCGAGCCTTGTTTGCCAATCTGATGGCCTGCTCCCTGCTCTCTTTGCTTATAATAGAAAAGATCGCTAGAAACGCCAATTTACTTGCATGTGCCCCGTCCAGTCTACTACCTTTCGGATAGAAGCACTTGTAATCCGGGACTGCCGGTCTCAGTTCCCCAACCCTCTCGATCAACTCCTTTGCCGGATCTTCTGTTTTTAGGATGCCTTCCTTGTCTGCCCCTATTGCCAGCAGTGCAAGCCACCACTGCGGGCCATCCTTAAAAGGTTGAGCAAAAATGCGGACACGTTCCATGTCACCCACTGCGTAGAGAAGTTGCAGCGCATAGTAATCCACCCCATATGTCATCGACGTTGCGACGGACCAAGCGTAGCCAGGCGGACGGGCATTGACTTCATGAAGAAAGAAGGTCGGTTGTTGGCAGTTGCTCTGCTCATTGACGTACAGATCCTCGATCCCATTCTTGACCGTATAGCTCATGCTAGAGTATCTCATACGGCCTTCACAATGCAGAATTCCGTTCCTGAATCCTTGCCTCAAGACTGTTTGATGCACGGAGTTGCGGATGATATCTACCTCGGCTTGGGGCAAACCTGTTGGTAGTAACATGGACGTTTCTTGGAAGTTGGCTTTCCAATCGGTTCCTTGACGATCACCTGACTTGGGAAAGTCATCAGACACTTCAAAAAATACAATCTCGCCATCCAGTAACACCACATTCGCATCCACTTCAGGTCCTTCAATGTATGGTTCAATCATCACGTCAGCGCTATCCTTTTGGTCGGTACGCCGCGGATCGAACGCCTTTTCGACAGCCTGCACGAGCTCCAGCTGGTTGTGGACCTTCGACACGCATTCGCTGCTCCATCCATCGCACGGTTTGACAATCAGCGGATACTGTAGCAGCGGGTGATCGCTCGAATCCAGAATACCGTTCAAATGAGCGATGCTGGAAACACAAAAAGCTTCGTTTTTGGTTGGCTCCAGCTCGCGAGTCTGATACTTATCCCCAGCAATCTCGTAGGCCTGTGAAGGCGACGTGGGAATCCCAAGAATCTCACAAGCTTTAGCGATGCCGACGATAAGTGGGACCCTGGCGGTGGCTATTCCGTGAATTGGCTTGCCGTAGTTGCGGATTGCGGATACAAGGCGGTCGACGAAGCCAGCATCGCCTGAGATATCGAGGGGAATAAAAGCTTCGCGGAGATGGCTCCAGCGAGGATCGTCTTGCTGTATCCAATGACCCGGCTTGTCGATGATCACAAGGGTTATTCCTAATGCCCAAGCCGCCTCAAAGATACGCCGGCCGAGACTCAAGTCTGCTCGACCTGCCACCCATACCACACGCTTGGGAGAAGCAGGAGAAGGGCAAAGCCACGGGAAACTGATCCGGTTATAAAGTTGCTTCTCAAGCCCATCTAGGGCGGCTACATTGTTTGCCACAATGCCACCCACCGCGCTAGCAAGAAGCGAGTCGAGTTGAGTGAATCCAACACCATTGTCGCTACGTACACCAGAAGACTTGACTTCCTGTTGAGGTTTAAGGAATCCTTTGACAGTAGTGACATTCTCACAGCCTTCAAGACGACGTTCGAGAAAGTCAGACCGTACGCAGAAGCCACTGTGAACCGGGAGGACAAATTTGACAGCAATGGGCCTCTGTGGCTGGCCGATCGTCTCCTGCAAGAAATTTCCAACAGGCGACCGCTGATCCAAATCGAAATACTGTGTGATATTCTGATCATGGATTCGGAAGACTCCAGGAGAGAGGCTTCCTAAGCCTGTATCGGATGAGTCGCTGATAATGACGTCAAGAGTTTGAAAGGACTGCCACAGCGAGTCGGAAGACCTTTGATTGAGAGTCCATTTGCTCTGAAATGCGACTAGTAAGATGGTTAGTCGCTTCAAATCTTGATTTTCCAGAGCACTGTCCCATAAATACCGTTATCACTTAACAGACTAGCTGTGATCATAGATGCTTTAGGATCGCCCATCCTATATTCCCAGTTGAGAAGTATATGTCTGGCTTCGCCCAGAATACGTATATACTCCGTATTTTTCCAGATTCCAATTTCAAGACAGTGAAAAACAAAGAAGTTGATTTTCTCCTATCGCACTATTTCTTAGGAGACAATTAAATATGTACAGATTCTTCAGCCTATTGTTTCAGTAAAATTCCCACTTTACTTCCCACTTTACTTCCCGCTTTACTTCCCGCTTTACTTCCCGCTTTACTTCCCGCTTTACTTCCCGCTTTACTTCAATTTCATATACAATATTCAGATTTCACTGCCTAAAATGCTTCCCGTTTAATTTTCCTGGTTTCGAAATCGACTCAATTGAAGGCTTCGGGTCTCGCCACTTATACACCCGTCATTGTGGGAACTACTCCAGTGAAGCCCTGACATTGAAACCTTTTCTGTTCTAGTCCCGATGTAAGTTGAACTTGACCTGACTTTTGCTAACTCTGCTTGTATATCAATGCAACGAATATTAATATCACGAGTTTCAATGTGACGAATTTCAATGTGACGGGCCCGGATGGAGATCATGAATCTATTTGCACGGATATAAGTTCGGCGTAACCCTCCATGAATAATAACTTCTCTTACATGCTCGCTTCGGTTTAGGTGGATAATACCTTTTGGATGTGAATTATGTATCATCGAGCTAATTGCTACCACCAAGTGAACTTAACGTGGGAACGATGTTATTTTGCTTCACTTTAGTCGTTTTACGGCTGAGCTATAAATCTCGTAATTATCACGACTACCTAAGTCTGAATTCTTTCCATCATTTCCTCCACGAAATCTCTCTACAGTAAATATAATAATTTCGGACGAATTTCACCATCATCACCGGAGACAGCGGCATTTATCACGTAGGCAGCTCAATTTCTGCCGATGGTGGGGTCACCTGCTTCCACTGGTATAACTATCCCCAAGGTCACTTTCCGGTTGAGAAAATGACTATATTGATGTGGGTCCACTCAAGATTTAAGAAGACTGAAAGAGGTGAAGCTGATTTCGGCCTAAATTAAAACCCGGCCTCGCTTTATGTAGTATCGAAAGGATGCTTGTGCCCCTGCACCTTCCCGAGTATAAGAAAAATCCCCCAAGACATCATTTCCCCTGAACTTTCAGCCTCTTGAAAAATATAACATATTCTCCCAGTCATGTCTTGCCAGAAAAAGTGTGATGGCTGTTCCTGCAGTGACACCCCACCAAAACGGACCGAGATCGAAGATTGTCTTACCGAGCTCAACGCTCTCCGCCAGCAAAATCAAGAGCTCAAGATTCGTCTTGATGTGACTTCAAATACCGGCAAGGAAAATTTCGACCACACCCCGGGCAGGACACTCCGCTCGTTGGCATGGTTCAACTGTCGCAGCAACCCTGGTATGACCGCCACTTACATGGAGCGGTACTTCAACTACGGGATTACCCGTGAAGAGCTCATGTCTGGTAAGCCTATGATTGGAATTGCTCAGACGGGCTCTGATATTGCGCCTTGTAACCGGCACCACCAAGAGCTGGCGAAGCGTGTCCGTGAGGGTATTCGCACGGCTGGTGGTATCGCTTTTGAATTCCCGACTCATCCTATTCAAGAGACGTCTAGACGGCCCACTGCGAATCTTGATAGAAATTTGGCTTACTTGAGTCTGGTGGAGGTGTTGACCGGGTACTTTCTTGATGGTGTGGTTCTTTTGACAGGCTGTGATAAGACGACTCCTGCTTGCTTGATGGCTGCGGCTACAGCTGTGAGTAATTTTCCTTTGCATAGTGAAGTATGATTGCTAACAGAATAAAGAACATTCCAGCAATTTGTCTCAATGTTGGACCTATGCTGAACGGGTACTCCAAGGGAGCTTTGACTGGAGCTGGCTCTGTTTTGTGGAAAGGACGAGAGATGTACGCCACGGGTGAAATTGATGAGTACGAATTTATGGACTACATTTCTCGAGGGTGAGCTGCCGTTCAGAATGTCTGTTTAGTGCCTTGCTAATATGAAAACAGGACGCCATCAGTCGGCCACTGCAACACAATGGGAACCGCATCCACCATGAATGCTCTTGCCGAATCTCTCGGCATGGCTCTTCCAGGCTCAGCTGCTATCCCCGCGGCATACCGGCACAGAGCCCAATGCGCCTACAAAACCGGAAAGCAGATCGTGGAGATGGTCGAAGAAGACCGCAGGCCCAGCGATCTGATGACCCGCGGAGCATTCGAGAATGCAATCGTGGCTAACGCGGCCTTTGGCGGTAGCACTAACGCTCCTATTCACATCAACGCGATTGCTCAGCATATGGGTATTGAGGTCACAATGGATGACTGGGATACGCTTGGATCAAGCATTCCTCTTCTATTGAATATGCAGCCTTCGGGTGAGTATCTCGGAGAAGAGTACTACCGTGCTGGAGGTCTCCCAGCTATTATGGCGGAGCTTCTGGATCAGGGCAAGCTTAATGGAGATGCCTTGACTTGCAATGGAAAGACTATGGCTGAGAATGTCCGCGGTAAACACTCGTGGGATCGTCGTGTTATTCGTCCTTACAATGATCCGTTGATGAAGGATGCTGGATTTATTCATCTGAAGGGTACCTTGTTTGACTCTGCTATTATGAAGACTTGTGTCATCTCCCCTGCTTTCAGGGAGCGTTACCTGTCTAACCCTGAGGACCCGGAGGCGTTCGAGGGTTCTGTTGTGGTATTCGATGGCCCCGAAGATTACCACAATCGACTTGAAACCATGTCCAACATTGACGAGAAGACAATTTTGATCATGCGTGGTGTTGGTCCGCTGGGTTACCCCGGTGCAGCAGAAGTTGTCAACATGCACCCTCCCGGCAGACTGCTCAAGCAAGGAATCGAGGCGCTGTTCTGTATCGGCGACGGTCGACAGTCTGGAACATCAGGTTGCCCATCAATTCTGAATGCGAGTCCCGAAGCTGCTGCTGGCGGCAACCTCACCATTATCAAAGATGGAGACAAGCTTCGCATTGACTTGCGGAAACGCCGTGTGGATATTATTATCGATGACCGCGAGCTCCAGCAGAGAATCCAGGAGGCCAGCAAGGCACAATACCCGGTGGTTCCCAGCGGCTCCCCTTGGCAAGAAATCTTTCGCCAGGAAACGGGTCAGCTTTCGGATGGAATGGTGTTGAAAAAGGCTGTCAAGTACCAGCGTTTGGCACAGCACGATGCTCCGCCCAGGCATAACCACTAATCCTGCTCCGACAATTTTGTGTTTATTCTTTGTAAAGTCTAGGATGAATCCGATGCCCAAGGTGGAGTTTCACTTTCGGAGAGACGCATTGCTTATCTTTAGAGCAAGGCCGAGTAAATACTGGTGGCCACCTGCCAACTAGAACAGATGTCATCCGCCAGACACGGAATATATAATTTCCAAAGTTTCTCAAGAGTGCCAAATGCTCTTCCTGGATTCTTCCAGGTAAATAAACAAAGCTTACAGTACCGACTCAAATGACCACGGTGAGCGGTTGTTTTGATGCGCGCTCGACCAGTGAATTCTCCTTACAGTCATAAAGATCCCTCTGACCTTCATCTCCAAGAAGCGTGTTTATTGACTTATTGTATTTTACCACATGTTCTTGTATATAAAATCGTGATTACAAATATCTGTGTACATTAGGAAATCCAGGAAGTGAATGGTTGCGTAAAGTGTCTGAAATTTGGTACCTTCTAGCGATAGATACAGGGGAAAAAAGATCGAAATGGATTTGGTAGATCTTTTCACATTTTGTATGACGACTGCAATGCACGCATCTTGCCACTTTATTCAAAGATATCAGGAAAATCTGCCCGGTCACGATAAGACTTGTCGTCCTTCCTTAGCAACTAGAGGTGCTGCTCATCATTGCTCAGTTTTGTTCGCATTCGAAAGGCTGTATATAGCTGACTGATTGGATGGGTCAGGTTTGAGGATATGAATATTCTCATACGCGATGAGAATGATATTTGACTCGGTGAAAAGCGATTTTGTTGGTCAATTTGACAAGCAATATTAATTCTTCTGGACATGGCGTTTGCTGAAAGAGGGTTGTCTGGGAAATTAGTCTTAGAGCATAGTAAGAAGAGGAGGGTATTCACCTGCAAAATTTCTCTCAAGGAGCGCGATCTGAGCTGATCAGGCAGGTTTTCAATCTCGACAGGCCATCCATGCGTCGAATGACTTTTACCCATAAGTTTGATGACAATATCCGCTAACCGTACAGCTTCAATGTGGCAGCGTCCATTTCCGAAGTAGTGATCTCGCAGCTGCCCTCGACTCCCACTGGTGAAAAAATGATTATTTAGGGGATTGGGAACCAGCAGTCAGTTTGATGTGCGTACCTATCTTGACTTTGCCAGACTGAGTGAGAAAAATGGTATCCATTGTCAAGGTGGCCAGCACTCTCCCGCGTTCGGCCAAATACTGAATTCCTTCAAGCACCTGCTCTCAATTAGCGACCGCTTTAGCTGTGATGCGATATATGACTCGACTTATCGGCTTGACAATTGCAATGATCTCACTCGCCGTGATCACGAGCCTCGATGCCAGGACTTGAACGACCGAAACTTCCACATGCTCCCAGACCAAGAACACCGAATTATCGTGGTGATAGCTTCCAAGCAAAGATCGAAAACTAGAATGAGAGATCCGATTCAGCGTTCGTTGAAATCCAAGGTCTGAGAATGATTGCAGACGTCCTGAATTAACGCCAAGAGAGCGCACGTTGACGTCGTGTATCACAATACCCCACGTGGGCAGGAGAACTTCTGCTTTCTTATGCAGGCCGCGTGCCTATTCCCTGTGCGTGCGGAGGATCTCTGCCTCCTTGGCGGAGCGGACGGAAAAGTGTCAGTAACTAACGTATTTCACAAGCGAGCCGGACACCCCATCAACTTTTGAGAATTCAAACTAGTATAATTCAACCAAAACAACATAATATTGAATATCTAAGCTATTTAACTAAATCTGGGCAATGCGTTCTCTTATGCCCCTGAATACCGCATTGAGAGCATTTTGGTGGTGCTCTATATCGTCGTTCTTGTGCTCCTGGTTGACCGGTCGGCTGGTCGATTAGAGGTTGAATTTGATCATTTCTGGCATTTTTAGCCAATTCTTTAAGCTCAGCAACAGATAGGCCTTCTGGGTGAGCTATCTGGAGCTTAGAACGTGCTTCTTTTCGCTTAATTTTCTCGTTGCCAGCGCCTAAAAGCTCGTTTTCTCGAGCTAGAAAAGCGGTTGATTGCATCGTGATTTGATATGCTTTAAGAACTTGATCTATTGCGGAATTCAACGGGCTTGGTGGGCTTTTCGAGCGTTATTATAAGAGCTTTTTGATTGAAGAAGCTTGTTTTTGAAGCTGCTTATAATTCGATAGTGTCTTAGGCTCCCACGCGCTGCTTTGGCTTCCTCGAGATGGTGGTGGTGTAGGCGTACGAAGTCGAATATTAAGCTTTGAAATCACACGATCTGGGTTGTATAGGACTAAGCTAGTTGCTAAGAAGCTATTTTTGATTGTTTCCGCTTTAAAAGCTTCGATTCGAGCGGTCGGAAAAGCATCAAGAAAGTCGAGTTTGTCGATATGATTCTGACCACGCCGTATTATATCCTCGACGTACTTCCCGTACGCACGCTTTAAGACCGCAAAACAACCTACATCAAGAGATTATAAAAGATGTGAGGAGTGCGGTGGTATATAAATTGGAATCACGTTATTTTAATTGCAAATTTCGTCGAATTTTGGAGTTAAATGGCTTCTATGACCGTTAAGAACCAGAAGTCGATATTTCCCCTTTAACCTTAAGAAAGTTAATAGAATAAAGACCTTTTAAAGCCAGCGAAGTCTAATTTCGTACGAGGTCTATCCATTTTTACTAACTTCGAATTACTAGTCGTCCAGAAGCCCATTAGTCTAGCCTTCAACGAGGAGTTTACCTTTAAAGATAATCATCGGAGGAAGGTAATATCTAGACGCGCCTACACACTCAATCGAGGTCACCTATTCACGATTTCCAGGCTATAAAACAGAGGGCCGACCGTAGTATTCCGCTCTCGTAATAACTCCCGCGGTCGCGGTTAAGCCCATCGTAAAGCCCGTCTCATTAAAGTTATATATATCGTCCGAATCGATCCTATAGTCACAAATCGTCTTTTAAACTAGTTTAAACTATTGCATAATGATTTTTAGGTCCTTATACTTTACACGATTATAATTATAGCGTCTAAAGAATTTTGTAATAAGCTCTAGGTATCGTTTAACGTAATTTGAGACCCAATTAATGCCGACGGTTTAAACTGGGGTCGTTCCACGTGTCGCGAGTAAGAGATTAGCCATATCTTCCACCATAGACAGTCGTAGTGCCGCTCTACGTATATCCATAGAGATAATCCATTACTTTAACGAATTCTCTTCGATTTCGGTTAATTTTGTCGAATTTGCGCGTGATTCGACGCGGTTATTGACTCCATTTATCCGGTCATAGAGCGTTGATTTCGGTATATCGTATATCTCTGCTGCTTGACGAATTGACAATTTTTCCTGCTTTTTAATAGCTTAGATAGCACATAAGATACGCCCCTCTTATTCTGTCAATTTTCGACGATTTTGAGAGCGAGTTGGTGGCATGGTGGGTGGTTGGAGAAGGAAGGTCTAATTAATTGACGCGTTTTGGTTGGGGTGTCCGGGTCGCTTGTGTGTCCGGCTCGCTTGTGAAATACGTTAGTGTATACTTCCTATATCCAGAACTATCATCCCTTATCGTCTACCCGAGAAGATATTGTAGCCTATTGGCCTGTAGCAGGCATCTTGTACATAATTTTAATATTCTCATTAGGCGGCATCTCTCATACTCCTCACAGATATTTCTGCTGCCGAACCAGACAAGTGACCTTGAGCAGCCATCTGAATATGTGTCTCAAAATGTTGATCGACTGAAAATGTTGATCGACTCCAACTGTTGGAGCCATATAATGACTCAGACAGCATTATATCGCATGTGTTTGGCAAGCGCGAAACCGGCGCACAACGTTGAAGTTCAACTTTGCGAGGTTAACCTTTTTTAATTATCCAGTCATGTCTGAAGCACCACTGTTTACGTGTCTGCAGTACCCTTATGTGGCTGCAGCTCTGTTTGTTCGTCTATATCTCCTTTTGCATAAATTCGGCGCTATTATTCCAGTTTCACTACCTGACAGCAATCTCCTGGGCTCTCTTTACCAAAAGATGGTGCACTACGTTCACATCATTCGTAGACAACATGGAGTCACCCCGAGCAAAATAAATGGCCAAATCGGGCGCTTAGAGGAGACCATTGGGGCCGCACTACCAGAAGGCTCTCAGTGGCACGGGATGTTTTATTATCAAGGTCGCAAACGAGTCCACCCATCTTGGTTCCGAAAAAAACTTATCTTTGCATTCGCGGGTCACAAAGGTCTGAAGCGCTTGGATGAGATATGGTATCAGACTTGGATATTTGTGGTCAATTTGAAGATTGAAGGAAATTCTCAAGAACGCTTAATACGAACGCTTCTGGACCTACATATGACAACGGAAAGGTTGGAATATACAGACGGGAGGCAGCTCGATGCATTGACCAAGTGCATGCTGCATTTGAAAAACGAGATTCCATGGTTGGATAATGGCCAAGCAAGAAAGGAAGACCCTAAAGGTTGCTGGTATTTTGGAAAGCGGTTTGAAATTGGAAGGCATGTCTGATGCAAAAGTACTGCCATCCTCGAAGGCAATTTCCCCTACCGAGACTCGCAGACTGTTTCCTGAACCCTGTTCTAAATTACGCTGATCAACATCAGGCTTGGTGAAACTCTGCAAGAGTGATGGTGCTTGAGTGTGCAGATACCTGGTGGATGTCTCATCACCTAAGGCACTTCATGTCACCAGAATGGGGACTGTGGAACTTGAAGAAAAACCCTAGATTCTTACCCCAAATGTTTGTTCAGAGTCAACATCAGTCTCGCTTCTTCACGAATCTTCATTTCCATCTTCTATCTTCTCTCGTGGGATCATTTTCACTGCTTGCATTTAATCATCATCATGCAATTCATCTCCTCCCTCGCTGCCTTTGCCGGTCTCGCTCTGGCCCAGAATGCTGTGATCGGACTTCCTGCTGCTGACCAGACAGTCGCTCCCGGCAGCGATATCATCGTCCAGGTTCAGCGACCTGTATGCCAATTTCCCAATTCTTCTGTCCAATTCCAAATATTCCGGTTAAATTTTAGAACTCCTTAATTGGCTCTAAAGAAATGGCCGTTGGTGTTGTCTCTTGGCCAGCATAGAACCCTTCAAGCGAATTAACGTCCGGTGAGGTAAGGTAGCAGATTTAACTTCCCTCCTGCACCCGCACACATTTTTGGTAACCCGGTCTGAGTGGTGAAATCTCAAGCTTGAATTACACGATGGAGATACCTATGATGAGAATGACAATGTTTTAGTTAAATAGGCAGCCTACTTTCATTCAACTGTTCAAGTTTATTACATATGTATTCACTTCAACTCATCGACTTACCCAACGCTTTGTTGGCTAAGGCTTGAATTGGAATACGCAAAATTGGCTTTTGGTTAATTCACGGTTCCATGTTGCCCAGCGGGCTACTCTGCCTTCAGTGAGATCCTACCTGCCGAAGCTCCACTAACACATTACCTGTATCGATCTGGGCATATCATACAACTTGTTGAGGACCGCAGGAGGACCGCTGATCCAGAAGCTAATAAAATCTCGCCCTGAATCCAGTTCATTCTTGTGACAGATTCCCTAACTTGTCGCAGTCAAAGATTGGAAAAATTCAAATGCCGCTCTTGAATCTACCAAATGAACTCATTCTGATGATAGCAGAAGGCCTCGAGGCAGAGTGTGAAATTAATGCCCTGGTTCAAACAAATAGGCATCTCTACGCCCTTCTCAACTTGTACCTTTATCGTCTTAATATACAGCAAAACGGAAGCTCAGCGTTGCTTTGGGCGGCACAGCATGGCCAAGACACGACAGCTAAAACCCTGATAAACGAAAGAACTCGAGAAGAAAGAGTCAAGGGAAAAAGACCCTACGTCCGGACCGTGCCTGAAACCAATCAGACACCTTTATCGTTGGCCGCAGAGCATGGACATGAATCTATCGTCTCAATGCTTATTTCGCAAGACTCCGTCGACGTCAACTACGGAGATTACCTTGGACGCACTCCTCTCTTCTGTGCCGCAAAAAATGGACATTCGACCATTGTCCAGCTTCTTCTGAGCGCGAAATGTGTTGATGTTCATATAAGGTCATACAAATGTTTTCGTCCGTGCCCAGGCCAGACACCGCTCCTAGTGGCCGCGGAGTATGGACAAGATGCCGTCATCAAAATACTGCTTGACCGAGGTATTGATCCCACTGAAAAGGACTCTGACGGATATACACCACTAGCGCTCGCAGCAGAGAATGGTCACCAAAGTGTGGTCGGCCTATTGTTGGAAAAGAAAACGATCGACCCTGACTCTAAAACTCCTTCCGGGCAGACGCCGCTATCTTTAGCGGCGCAGCGTGGACACATTGAAGTTGTCAAAACTTTGCTCAGTACGAACTGTGTTGATCCGCTCAGCAGGGGCTCTGATGGACATACAGCCCTATCGCTTGCAGCCCAGAATTTCCATCCAGACGTTGTCGAGCTTCTCCAGTTACATGCATCGGTCTAGTCGTGCGGATGACGAGCGTGATTGTGTACTGTTAAGGAAGAAGAATAACTTTTTATGTACTGTACTGGGCGGAAGTAAATCGTGCTCTATGAACAAAGTCCCAGAGTAGGAATTGGCCTAGAAAACGGCAAGGTACACCTTTCATTGCTTTGGGTGACAATGATTGCTTTGACACGATGCCTCTGAACCACGTGTCGACAAAGAGGACCGCAACGTTACTAGTGCGCCCGAGGGACATCCAGCGCCTCCATCTGTATGACCCCTACGAAGGCCCCCAAGGACTGTAGTAAGCCCACATCCTACTTGTTCCGTATTCCATAGTGCATATGTCAAAAACTCACGTCCAAATATCAAATTGACCATATGCATACTAGTCCATACTGTAAAGACCACTTTCCGACGCATAAGCACCTTGTTCGCATCTCATATACCTCGTTGTATTGTTGGTATAGCAAGGGCTTTGAAACTCCAAAGATCATAAATGCTCTTGTAAGTCGCTATTATAATGATGTAATTGATTTGGAAAGGGGTCTCTCTCAGACCCAACTTAATTCAACCACTATTTTGCCCTTCGACATGTCCAATTCTTCGCCATGTAAAGAACTAGCCAGAGATGTTATATCCCGGTGGTTCGCCCCATTTGTCCTCCAATTGGCTCTTCGGACCCGTTCTATTTCATCACTGCCTACGGAGGCAGAAGAGAAACCAAACCTTCAGAGACTAGATTTATCGGATAAGGTCTATATTCAGCCTTGATATTTGTAGAGGCTGAACTCTTGGAAAAGGTTCATCAAAAGTTCCCCTTTTTGGCTTGAATCCTCTACCTTGGGTTGTTTAAATAGGAGACAGACATCCATAGATTTATCCAGATACATCATAGAACATGCACATCCCACTGAATTTACTCGAATCTCCCAGATCTTCTAAAGGGGAAAGTTTAAGCGTCCCATGCTGCCATGATTCTCAAAGATTCGGAAACCATGATTTTCTCCGTCGAAGCTCATATGCACCCCTCCAGAGCTTGTCGCACGATCTTGCTCACAAATCCTCCTCAAGACATCGAGAACCGCTTGGGAATGGTATATGGCCGGCCCGGGCTGCTCCGCTTTGTTCCGATACTTGGCTCTTTTGTTGCCCAATTGTTCCATGGCCTCTGTGACCTGTCGCTGCTGTGAACTTCTGTCATCCAAATCCCTAGAATACCGATGTGGTTAGATCAATCATACGGCAAGTGCCAAATGGTAAACCTGAAACATACATCAGAGCTGCGCCATATACGCATTGAAGAGCCAGATGGCAGGCGACAAGTCCATCGCATGGCGACGAGGTTGCTAGCGGAGTAGATTCGAGCTCGTAGCACTCCATGATGCTGCAATATAAGAGTGAAAAGACATTGGATACGACCCCGCTGTCTAAAGAGCCCCATTGTTCAGGCTGAAGGGATTTGAGGTTCAGAAGAAGGCTACCGAGTCGTTCCACAACTCGAACAATTTGCGTATGCTGAGATACATCGTGCTGAATCATGTCTAGGTATCTTTGAGCTTTGACGAGAGCCTGGTCCAGAGCTAGTTTAGTGGCAGCGTCGATGCCACCCCTCACTATGGAAACTCTTGTATCTTCGGAATGAGTGACTGAGCTCGGTTTGGCACATGTATAAATGTTACCAAGGTTGACTCCCACCTGGAGGTAACTGTTGTTCGAAGTAAAATTCATCGACATTTTCAAATGACAGCACAAGCACTTAGATTTTGGTGTCAAGAAACGTGAGACCACTCGGTGGGAGAAATGAATTGGTAGATATCCCGCACAGAAGATATGCAACAGGTAGGACGGGTCGCATGTATTTATGTGTTTCTCCACCCACGACCTCGCGTCCGGGCCGAATGTTCTTCCATGATGTGCACCGACGTAGAAATGAGTTCTGTCATTCGCGGGACCATTCAAAGAGGTCCCAGGACCAGGTCTAGCAACCAGAACTCGCTCGGGCCAGAATCCTGCACGTGAAACCAAAATGCCGGTCCCAAAGATACCCAATTTGGATCCCCGAAAGCACAAGACAGGCTCTGGGATCTTGCACGAGCGTTCCAGAAGCATAAGAGCTCCCAGGACCGGTCTAGGTGGTCCTAAATCCGGCCTTGCGATTTAATGGGATCACTTTCCAGACGTCTGAGACTAGTTCTGCGTGTTTTCCAAGTTTTCGTGCTGTCTTTACGCTGGATCTTGCCTTTCGTTATCAATGCCATCTCGTCGTTTGGAAATATAAATTCACTGCTCTCCCCCCGTATCCTTGCTCACCACAGAATCTCAGCGTGTGAGTGATCGTGGAAGCTGAAATGACTACAACAACCGATGATTGTGTGGAACTGTCTCCACTGGACCTCTCTCTGGAAGAAACCATATGCTTCGGCTGCGTAAGTCACCCAAGCCAATGTTCGAGAATGTCTTCTAATCTATGCCTTTAGGCATTTTTTCCTTCGTGTGAATCAAAGCTCGACCAAGCATCATACGGGGATAAGTGGACCAACTTGGCGACATGCGATTTGCAGAGACTCTCTATGGCCTTCGCCACGCTGCCTGACAGATCCCTTTGGTGGCTGCTGCAAATTGGGGTGACCATACACTATCAAATATCCCTCACTCAGCATCAAATGGCCATTAGGCTCTATGGATCACCCTCTTTCTTGATTTGCCCTGAATTTGAGATGGCCTGTAGTGGTCATTCCTGCTCGCAGCCGCCGATATATTTGCAGGCACCTATTCATGTCAGCAAGGACGAAAAATATGAGAATCCCCAGTGGCTTAGGTTCGCTGGGGACTCGAACAGCTCGATATTCTGGGTGGGGGAGACCAAGTACTTCAGAAAGCTTTTGAATGCACCTGGGAATTATCTGCGTGTCTAGCGTGGTGCAGGGCTTCTTCGGGTTGAGTCGCCTTTCTGTGTTATGCATGGCTTCCAGACTTTCCAGAAGACTCTCTCGGGTGCTGCGTTGGCTATGCCCATACCCGTGCGTACTGTCACGGCCACATTTCGACGGTCTTGATTCTCTGAGAAGAAAGTCTCAATCAGAATTCGGTTTGGAGTTTCAGGCATAAGTAGAAAGTATTCCGGGGAGAATGAAGATAGTCTATTGACAAGAAATATTTGGAAATTTACGGCATGTCTCTCTCTTCCAAAGTATTTGTAAGGTCTACAGCTCATCCACCTGCGCCATATTTATATGTCTCTACAGTATCGTCGCCGCGTAGAGTCTAGTTTTGGGTCATACAACTTTACCTTATTCGATCGACGACGTATTCTGGAGAATGAGTAGATCAAAGATGCAGTGCTCAACTTCCACACCATCTACAGCCAATGCGGTATGGCTGCAATCAATGAAAATTTCAAAGTGGTCTGTGGCTAGGACCCTGCGCGGCCATGCTTCAACAAGTGAGGCGCGTTGGTGTAGACTTACTCAGAACACAACACGCTCAACGGCTTCGGTTTAAAACCTACAGCCAATGCTGGAAGTGACCGATGGTGATAACTGCACATATCGTGGCAATGAACTGGTGATCCGCTGCACATCGTTTCCAAGTGTTGAAAATGTGGCCGTTGATACAAGGTTGAGACTTGAACAGACGTAGGTGAATTAAGTTGAGGAAATTTATCGCCGCATCAACAGATGTAGCAAAGAGAACTGATGCCATGGCATGGCTCTTGAAAGGGCCTTTCACTTTTCACCGGCCTGCAGTTGATTGTTACCCAGACCATCACCTCAGTAAAGGAAGTTCAACAGGCCTCACTTTGCACAGGCATCTTCAATGCCCTCAAAAATCCGCACAGGCAGGAACCGCACTGCTGCAATGTGAAGCAAGCGGTGACACAACAAGCTGAAAAACCTATAAATTCGGCCTCCCCCAGTCCTCTGTCATCTCTACCTTGCCACATTGGATTGATTTCCCTCGCACCAGAAGTCCTTAGATGCTGTCGTGCAGCAGACCCCTGATAAGTTCTTCACCTTTGATTCTCCAAGCTCTTTCTGTTGCTGACTCGATAAGTGCACACCCCAAGCACTGAAGTCACCCAGCTCTCGTTACGCACTCGGTGGTTCACTACACTCTCTACTCGTGTTCGTGCCCTCCATCCAGACCCTGAGTCCAGACTAGGCCCATCCCTTCTGTGAGTTTGCAAATACCCATGAGCCGAGCCGAGCCGAACTGAGCTGATAATGTCACTTTTTACTAGCTCTTTGGCCATGAGAACACAAGCAAGGCTTCCTGTGCAGGTAAGCCCCTTATCAGCCCAACACAATATGAGACTGTGCTGAAACACCAAATGTTATGACCAGCCCAATCTACTTAGATTTGACCGCTCCAAGTCAGCGCTACGAAGACTCCACACCCACCTGCCGGCCACAATCGTTAGCCAAACCAAGCTGTTAGCCCAGAACGTGTGCACAGCTGTTTTTGAGAGTCATGAGCCTCTTATCTGATCGACTTGCTAAATTATACCCGACAGATAGTGCCTCCAGCGAGGCCTCCAGCAAGACCTCCAGCAAGACCTCCAGCACGACCTCCAGCACCCAATGATGATGCATGCCCAGCTCGAGTTATACCGCCATACCCTGAAAGCCACTTTCAAATTGACGCACACGTCGCTGTTGTCTCGAATGATGCAAAGTTCCGAGGGGTGTGCTAGAACAAGGCTACATGTGCACTCCTCCACGGCTGCAGCTGTAGCTGCAGCTAGATCGTGATAAATTATTTGTTGGCAATCAGGGACGTTGGCTCTCACCAATGCTCCATGACCGTTCTGATCGACAGCTATGATCCTAGCCGAAGGACGCGAAGGGCGGCCGAACCCGAAGCCACAATAATGTTCTCGCGAGAGGGAGGATGCGTTCGGTCGAAAGTGAGGTCAGGCCAATCCTCACCAAGATGATATCTGCATTGCCTCAGCAGTGTCGTGCATTGTTAGTGCAAGACGAAGAGTGGACATGGTAAAGGATGGAAAGACCGTGAGTGGACTCTCATATAATCGGATGCATGCTGACTATCTTGAAGGGCCGTTTGCCAAGCGACACAGGACGTATCAACTCTGCGGGACCTGACGCAAACCTCTGAACGTGCCTTGCACGCGTCTTGCACCGTCGCGGCGTTCGCCACGAAGCGATGGCTACCTCGCCTTGGGCGCCATTCCGATGTGTGGAAGTCGACATGACTCATCGTTGCCGAAGCCAGGCCGTCTTCTCTCGCTAGACACATTCGTCGCCAACCATATCTCAGCCCTAGTCGAGAAACACCAGCTACCCCGAATCATTTGGGGTTCGTCGGAGTCAGTCATGCGTCTCAGTCTGGTGAGCTTTGATATTAAGGGCGGCTGTAACGGTGGGATCGGACCCTTCCACTGCGGAGGATGCAAGGACGCAGAATCCCGGAGTTTTTCATCCGATGAGTGGAGAGTTCCCGCTCCTCGCGATGGGCGTCGGCCGCCGTGAACATGTACCAGTCTGATGAGACGGCTATTGAGCACGCAGGCCTGCCTGCAAGGTTTGCCACCTTCTCCTGTTCCTATATACAATTCTGATGGATGTCTCTGTGGCCAATTAGTAGGGAGACATCGCTTTCATCGACAATTACGCACGATGGAAGGTGGGCTCCATCGCTGAGACGAGTACGCATGTCTTGCAACATGTCATCCCACGAGCGTTAGATGGGCGTCGCAATCTGGTACGGCTGTCGAGGTAGGAAACATCGTTCATCCACCTCACGCGGAGCCAGCAACGGCGTCAGCCTCCTGCGGTCCCGCTACACGTGAACGGAGCGACGGTCGCCCCAGCTCAAGTCAAGGTCCTCTGCGTCATGATCGACGAAGAAATGTGTTTCAAATCACAGATCAGAGAGGCTGCAAATCAAGATGAAAGCCGTTCTTGCTATCACGACTGCGTGGGGTATCTCCTTCAGCAGCTCGCCAGCTCTTCACGTCTACGATTATATCAAAAAGTGACTGTGCAGCATCGATATGTCGCCCTATACGACTGGATACTACCGTTGCGGCAGGAATTGTACGGCTGTTTAAAATCATCTAGCATCGTATCGCAGGCGATTGTGAGCGGGTTCCGAAAGGTAGCCCTCGACACCACCAAAGAAGAGGCGCGGATGGGAAAAAAAGTCGTGCGCCTTCAAGTGGGCATAGGAGCATTTGCCAAACTTTGCCAAAGGGTCACCCATTCTGGTTCAGCAGTCCCAAGATAAGTTCGTCGCCTTTGGTTTCTCTAAGCCCTGTCGTTACTGACACGAAAAGCACGCATCATCGTTGAGTCAGCCAGCGCCCATGCGGCTGTGGTTCGCTCTCCTTTAACTTGTGTCAGCTAGTTAGCATGAAGGTCATTTTGTCCAGACTAGGCAACGTACCTGCTTTGCGTATGCAAGCACCTATGAGCCTCGCTGTACCGAGCTGTTCCAATACCAATTCCCTGATCAATCCCCACCAGCTTCTTTGATCATGAGACTGCAAGCGAGTCTTCCTGCGCATGTATGTCCCTTGTCAGACTGGAACGATTTGAGATTGTTGAAATACTAGATGTCACAGCCAGCCCGGTCTTGGTTCGAGTCCTCCAAGTGAGCTACGAACATTCTGCACTTGCCACCAAGCCCCCAATCGCACCGAATCGCTGATCAGCCACCAGGATATGTGAGTCATGGGTCCCTTCTCTTATCTATTTGCTAATGTGGTACCCAACAGAACATGCCTCCGAGCAAACCCCAAGCACATCAACAATGCCCCAGGCCAAGTCAGACTGCTACCTTCTGGATACCCTTTCATATCAACGTACACGTCGCCAGTGACCCAAACGAGACGCCATTCTGAGCAACATGCCCACAAACAGACTTAAGATGCATACCGCCACGGCTTGTCCAGCTCAAACCAGTGCCATAGCTGCACGCCATCAATTGGTCGTGGCGAGCAGGAATCCAACATCGACACTATGTGACATCTTACCTTACTACAAGTGGCTCACCACTGGCGATTTCTCTTACCCTTTTCGCGAAAAACCCCCTATCCACTGAGCGAGTCCACCTAGCGATCGCCTTATGATTTGCTCGCCCAAACCAAGCTAGTGGTGACTCGAGCATACGAACGTTGTCGCTTCAAGAAATTCAAGCGCGAAGTGTCCAACAGGCCAGAGGCCCGAAGAGAGTTTACGCACACCCAACAGCGTATTGACATATTTGTCCCGAAACGGAGGTGCTTTTACAAAGCCGAGTTCGAGAAGTGTTGTTCTGATAGACCAACGCTCCCGGAATGTCAATCAAGATGATATAGAATATGCGCGTCCTGATCAGATCTGTCATACTCCTGAGTCATCTGGCTACCATGGGAAAAGCGCGGAAGATCTTATCCACTGCTGTTTCCCTTTGAAAATAGGACGGTCCTCAGGAATATCGAGCGGACGATGGTGTTTAAGCACCATGAAAAGGAGAGGGGCATATTCTTAACATGTGATCATGCCAATATATACTCCATTGGTGACATTTTGGCCTTTGGCGAGTCACTGGCCGATTTTAGGGCGCGTCGTCGCCGCCGCATATCCATCACGTGATACGACTGGCAAAGCTTGAATTCTGCTGAACACAAGTCAAATTCAAGATTAAAACTTGTTCCGCTCGCAGGCTCTTACAGAATTGGAAAATAGTTTATTGATTGATATCACTACTACATGGAAGTACGCTGTGTGCGGATGTGGAGAGCTATGAGTGAGAAGAAATATGGTCTAGGAGTCGGGATGCCCTGGAGACACCAGGAACCCAGGACAAACCCGAACCGCGTGCAACGTTGTCTATGGCAACCTCTGCTTTCGAAAACTTTCGAACTGTACCTTGCAGACCAGTCGCGTTCATCGGACCCACCGCCAACTCCGACAACCTTCGAGTCATTGGTCCTAATGCATGGAGAACTAGAGTTGACTTCAATTCTTTCAGACAAAAGCTAGATATCATCATTTCCCTCTCCGTCGATATCAACCCTTTCGTCGTGAACTAGACCCCGGAGGCGCCTAATTTCTGCCTTCAGCTCGTCGCACATACTTTGAAGATTTTCATTCTCTTGCTCAAGCTTCTCACAGCGGTGGTCCAGCGTCTGAGCAAGCGACTCATTCCGTTGTATCCAGTATGGGCACTGTGAGTGATTGGATTCCAGTTCGTCATAGTCTCCTTGGACTCTTGTCAACTTGCCCCGGGTTTCTGCAACCTCGGCCCTGAGCCTTTTGTTTGACTCCGTGGCTGTATTGATCAGATGGTCGCAAAGCTGATGGTCCTCGATCGAGCCATCTGACTCCTGCCAGATTTAGTCCGTCTTCTCGAAAAGAGGAGTGGGGGTAGGAGCAGCGCGTAAAACTCACTGAAAGAATCGTGTCGAGTTCAAGTGGGACACGTCGTCTTTTCACAGGTCGAGACAGATCAGTCGAGTTTCGACCGGAAGTAGCTGTATTTGGCATGATTCCAAATCGCAGGAAAGACAGAGACCTAAACTGGCGAGACAATGGACTTTGCCTGGCACTTGCGATTCCAGATACCACAAAAAACACTTGAGTGAGCGACTGCACGCAATTCCAGCTATTTTGCGGGCGCGGGGGGCCGCGCTTAAAAACTGCTTGCAATTTTTGGCCCCCAAAGTACGTAAATTGTGACTTGACCATTCGAGGTTTAGAGGCCGGGTCAAGTGTGCCGGAACTCTGTCTAGATTCCCCGGCGTGCCGTGAGTGCCGAGTGAAAGCTGGCCAAGGCAATCTCTCTCCTGACCTGATGCGTGATGTGACTTCCGCCATACGCCCGTAGCTCTCTGGGTCTCTAAGCTGTCTACAGCGGGCATTCGGTGATGACCACATCTTTCTGATAGCATATCTGTCAGCAAGTATGTCAAAGTAAATGACTTGGATATTATCTCATTTTCGAAAATAAGACCTCGCATCCAGTCAATTCCTTTACTGTACGCCAACTAGCAAATTGAAAGATCTTGGGCGCAGATCAGCTTCTAGGCCGAAGATTATCAGACCAGGCTAAAGGCCGTTTGGACCTACCTGCGATTTGGCTGGCATGTTTCGTATGCATCGATCGGCAAAAAGAGTCTCGGCCCACTTCCCTGAGGCGCTTTACAACTTGCTACTTCAAGACCGGGGGCAAAAGCAACATTGAAACAAAAACGTCCCAGCAACGTATGTGGCATATATGCTACGTGTTACTCGAAGCAACTCAGTGGCCGCGTTATGGAAATGCCCACGTAGACGTGCCGCTCCTGGACTTTACGCTGAGGGATCAATGATGTACCAAACGACATGAAGCGCTACACTTCAATTGCTTTGGCCCATGCAGATCGCAATTTTTCTCACTTCTGTCTCCCGCTGCATTAGCGCAGGTTTCTCTTCTGGGGCATTTTATTTTTCAGCGAAATATTGTATCGTCGCATTTCACCAATTTTGAGGGGTCGTCTTTCATGAACCATGGTCCTGCCTGAGATGGCGTCTGGGCTGCGTCGTACATGTTTCAACGCCAGGCGTCAGACTACGATCGCTAGTGCGGCGGTCCCATAGTTTTTTTGCATTAGCGCTGTCTCGCTACCATGGAACTGCCCGCACCATACTATTGACTCTTATAGCAGGATGCAGTGGGCTCCTCATATTAGCGTGCTTTAGCTACCATGGAATGGCTAACCACCAAGATCAACATGAGCTATGTGTTGTGATATAAGGCTAGCGCAGATCAGGAGCCAAGCCGAACCATCGGAACTAATCCCGAAGTATCTATACGAAGAACCAAGTTAATTTCCAATCATCACTACGTCGGCTCCGGTCCACAACGCGCCCGACCGAGCCATCACGGCCATCGAGCCTTTGACAGGCAGCGACAACTTCGCGACCTAGAAACGTCTCATGACCTCCTACCTCAAAGCGAGGCAAGTCGGGATGTGGTGTCGGGCGACCTTCAGCGTCCTGACTGCTTATTCAAGTAAGCCAACCCGATTACGGCGGATAATATAACCGCCAATGTTGATTGCTGCAAACGCGATCTCCTTCCCAGCAAAATGATCACCCTTGTCATTATGACCCCTGGAGCGAGTGGAATTATCAATCGCTTTGATAAGCTGAAGCATGTCGGGAATATCTTTTATCAGGTCCAGGCTTCTCATCCAAATTGCATGGTAAAGAGCTAGTGAGCGGTCTTGTTTTGAGTTGCACCAAAAACTCCTAAGTGAAACTAGGGTTATCCCAAAGAAATAGCATCGGGTTTTCCATACAGTTTACGTGCGTTGTTGCTGAGACATAAATTCATGTTTACTGTATGTTTTGGGGTGGTCAGCGAGGCTGGTTAGGGTGACAAGTTATTGGCCAGCAACCATGAGACGATTACTTGAGAGTGTGAATTGTTAAATACTTTAGAAGATGCAGAATATATAGGGGAATTGAGCTTAGCTAGTAATGTTGATAACCTTGCGATCATCAGGCGGATGGGTGTGCTAAATATTCCTCAGGCGCACTAGTAAAAGTGCGACCCGCTTTTGTCGAAATCGCTAATTGCTGCGCCACTTGATCCAAGTAGCGCAGTTTGTGATTTCAAATTACGGGCCAAAGGAGGCTACACGTGTAATGAGTACAACTGGAAGAGGCAGGAGGTTCAGAAGAGCGCAGTGTCAGACGAAGCGTCCAGATAATGTATGCATAATGACGCTGAATGAGATCTACATTGCTGTTGATCAAATATTTTGATCTTTTAGACCCCCTTGAAAATCTCGCAATGACCTCAAGTACATCTCCCCCTGGGCTGTTTCGTCCCAAACTTTGAGGCCAGTGGTTTGCTCAAGGTATCCAGGCCACTCCTTAGGGAAGTACCCCCGGATTTCCAGCTTCTGTAGATCATTGATCCTCGAGAGCCTTCCAAGCGCTCGCACGAATTCGACATCCACAGCTGGGCCCCAGTGGTTGACAGTTGGCTCCGAGTCAAGGTAAAGAACTATTTCCTGGAGACCGTCGGCCTCCGTGGAGATTTTGTCGAGAAACTCGCGCCATTTTGGACCATTTGGAGGCTTATCTGTGAGGAAATCGGTGTATGGCCCCGGATTATAAACTGCATGAACAGAGATCCAAAGCCGGCGGAGATTGCGCACATTTCGCGGTGTAATTTGCTGGAGCCATTTTATGCCAGTGTCGGGGTCAAAGATCTGAAATTCATTTTTCACATAGAAAGTCGGTGATTTCTCAAGGATGGTAGTTTGAGGATTGATCACATGAACTCGTGAATCAGACATAGTGAAGCAAGTGAGAACTTACTAGGAGGTTAAAAGTTAGAAGGATGGAAATGTTGTGTGCGACACGGGGCGGCTGAATTTATTATAAAGAGCGGTGTATTCTGCTTTTTGAGAGAGAATGCGAAGCATTTTCTTATTCGTCCTTGAACGTTCTCCACCAGGCTAATGACCAATCTTCATCCCTTGTTACAGATTGACCAAACGTCACCACATTTTTGCCAAGGTAACGGTCAATATCGAACGCTGGCCAACGAGTGATTCCTGGTCTTCAGGGCTTGGAATTGGGCACCAGTGCATGGCCCCGTATCCAGCCCGATTTACATACGAATCGCTCGCCCACAATACCTATATAGAGGGACCAATTTATGAATCCTCGCTTCTCTTCAAGAATTTGTCTTGACAAGTTCTGTTCTATACGGTATTCTAATTCTCCGAAACACAGATAACAAGCATATTGAGCGTCGATCAATTCTTAGTACTCTTTCTGTTTCTTCTTACCTGTGGAAATACTTTATCGATGTCAACACCTCTTCGCACCATGCTCGGTCTCTTTGTTCCTTGAGTTAAAATAGCAATGAGTGAAGTGGCTACTGATCAATGCAGACCAAGTTTTGCAAACTTCGAAAGCTACAAGATGTAGAGCGAGAAACCAATAGAGCGGGGCTTTCTCGCGTCTAGGGGAACCCGTATTTGGAGCAAAAATGGTGGCACCCCGTTTTCTAGATACTGTAAGGTCGAACAGAGAGTTAAGGTGCAAGACTGTTCAGGGGCCTACGCCATATGCAGCATGTGGGTCCCGCGTATATCATATCTCCATCCGCCCTGTATGCTTCATATATAATCCTGACCGGGGACTGGTTAGAAGCGGGGGCCAGAAGCCTGCGCGTGAAGCCAAAGCGTACCGGTCCCAAGGATGTCTTACAGGGATCCCCGAAAGCACAGATCTGGTCGTGGGATCTTGAGCGAGCTTTCTAGGAGCGCTCCAGCTCCCAGGACCGGTCAAAATGATCCTAAAACCGACCTTGCGGTTAATGGGATAGGTCTTCAGGGGTCTGGGACTATTTTTGAGTGTGTTCGCCAGCGCACATCCCACATGGCCGCAATAATCACAGAATGAAGCCCGCCCTCATCTCTAAGCCTGCGCCTTGTATGAAAGTTCATTTGTAGCGCGGGCGATGGGCTATGCAGGGACTGGGCGCCTGGTCCAAAGGTATATCATTCATACATGCGCAGAGGGCAACGGTGATAGAGTATACTGCAATGAGCAGCATTCCGGTTGATGTTCTGAGATAAACGGCAGGTAGTCAGATGCTTTGCGAGCGCCGGTGTTGGCTCGCAACAAGGAAGGGAAGCATGTTGTTTGGGCGGGTCGAGCACGGTGGGCCATGGAGGCAAGACACAGTCAAATTGATCGGAGACCATGTACACAGGTAGTCTTCGTGGCCCAACAAGGACGCAGTGCGATATCGTGCTCGTACGTGGTTTGAAAATCACGCGTAGAGGCTCGGGGACGCCCGCACGTCCTTTTTGGCTGAGATAATCGTGTGACATTGGCTACGCACCTAGCCACGATGCACGTGATCGAGATGGTACTTCGGTGCAGACCATGAGATGAAAATGCGTTTTTCAGCTAATGAGCAAGACTGGCATTTGCTTTACTTCTGAATTTGTGGTGAATCTTGTGTTCTAGGCGGCCCTTATGGAGGGCAGTTTGTAGACGAATTTCCCGTGCAAACAACGCTGCCATTTTTATCAAGAAAGCATCATTCAGTCATGTATTTCAAAGGAATATTCATTATGTTGTTATTCAGAGGGAAACATGAGACTATATGTATACAACGAGAAGAACAAGCTGATATCCAATCAACTTGGTTCTCGTATAGATATCTCGGGATGAATTTCGATGGTTCGGCTTGGTTCCTGATCTGCACTAGACCTCCGCAGAGCCCATAAAGCCCAAAGCCCAGCCCAACCCAACCCGCAAATAGGTTGGGTTTTGGGCCCGGTCCTTAGGCCCATCGATGGGCTATGGGCTTATACCTCGAGCCCACTGTGTGTTAATGGGGGCCCAAATGGGCCCCAAACAATACAAACATGCCGAGTATTTGGATGCCAAGATAAGTTGAACCCCCCTTTTGGGATTAATTAAATTACCTCTGTTTTACGTCCGTTTCTTACCCTGATCCCTCAGGTAATATTTTATTAAATTTAATGATTTAGAATCAATTACTAGCATTCTCTCTATGTCACGTAAAAAGACACGAGCAAACGCGCTAATTAATAAATTTTCAAAATTACAGAGGTTCACCAGAAAGAGGTAGTACTTCCCCATAAAACCCAGATATATATCCAACATCAAAACATCAACATTCACCTTTTCGGTTATAACTCGACCCCCACCGATCGGATTTTGCTCAAAATTAACTTGCGTACTCATAGTATTCCTTTTACTTTAAATTTGAAATTTGAACCTTATGCGATTGGTGGAAGGTCGTAATACAACGATTACAGAGTCCGCTTTGTCAGCGCCTGCATGGGTTTTTATGGGGGCCCACGGCCCAGCCCACGGTGGGCTGTGGGTTGGGTTGGGCTTTGAAGGTTGAGCCCATAGCCCACCGTGGGTTGGGCCGTGGGCCTAGGGTCCGGGCCCATTTATGGGCTTTGCGGAGGTCTAATCTGCACCAGCCTCATATCACAAGGGTACTGGGCGAAATGGACCTCCAAGGAATTAATGTAGTGTACGCACTCAGCCCAATTTCTTCCACGGTAGTTTCCAAATTCAAGATTTGGAGGATTTGGCGGAGTAGCCGGGATTCGACGCGCAGGTGTAGATTGGGCAGATGTCCATGGCGGGGCGGGTTGGGTGATGGTTTGGGGCTGAAAAGAAACTCCGTCCATTGTTTCCTCTACGTTGGATCCTTTTTCGGAGAAATGCCTCTTCTTTTCTTCGGGGGTTTTATCCTGTTCATACGGCTCGCCGTAGATCGGATGTTCTGGTAGGAAAGTCCAGGCGCCGCGTGGTTGTCCCCCATCAACAGAGGCGGAAACTCCCGTTTCACGTCCCCGTTAGCCGTCAGGCTTTGCCCAGGGAGAACAATCGAAGTCCCGGGCTCTGGGATGTAAGGCTGGTGAGATATCAGAAGATCAGCCTTCCGCTGAACCCGCTCAAATCTTGCAGGCGCGTGATCATTGGTGCTGTTATCAAGAAAGGTTTGGCTATCTTCAAACATCTTTCTATTACCCAATGCCGTATTCCTGTTCGTAGGGTCCAGAATAGATTCTATGAAGGCGTCCACGGCGCTGTTGATGTCTTGGCCGGAAGCAACTGAAAACGCTGGCGATTTCGAGACAACGGGTGATCTGAGAACCACCGGTAACTGGCGACTGACCGAACTAGAAGCTTTGGGGCCCACAATTTGCCGAGCGTTGTCAAGGCGTTCCTGCGCTTCTTGCAGCCATTTGCCCTCGTCGGCGATCTGTGCGTTTAGCTCTATACGCTCGCGCATCCTTTCCAGATTTTTGGTGAATTGGTGGATTTCCTCGTCGAGGTGGGAATCATCATCGTGATTTTCGCTCTTCGTGCAGCTATTTGGCTACTATAGTAGTGGTGTGGCAAATGAGCGTTTGTAATCGGTTATCCGTCAAATGTCTAGGATTACGTCCATCAGCAGTGGTATGCTAGTGAGAATCCTCAAGGCTGGAGGGTTGAAGGAAGAAGACCGAACATTCAAAAGCTTTCGAGGGTTCCCGCTTCCAAGCTTAGCTTCAGTTTCGTCGTTTTTAATTACTTTTACTGCCTAGCACTTTTCTTGACCAATGAGACATGAGACTAGAACAGCGGTAAAAATCTTTCGTCAGATAATCAAGGCAGTACGGCAGAACTCATGTATAGGTCACATAGGTTCTTCGTTCCCTGAAATAAGACCGAGGACCATGCTGAGTTAGCAGTTATAAAGAGGCCGTCAGCTCATCGTCGGTCCTGGTTAAATATAAATCCGGTTTCCGACCAACGCTGAGCTTTCAGTTTTGTTTATCGTATACATGAAGTCATTTATATATTATATCGGTTCCTAAAGATGCGTTATGTAACAGTACTAGAATTAGCCAATGAGGCCCATTGCACAGTACTTTAGATGCGTATATCTGTATAATTCTGATAGCAAGACAAAAGGGCTGTTTCCAGCCAGCTGATTCAGCAGTTGATGCCTTGGGAATCAGGAAGCAGTGGGTGTTGAATGAATCACCTTTACTGGACCGACACATCACCTTGTAACCTGACAAGGCTGTTCGTCTCATCCATTAAACTGTCACCTCTCTCAACGCACTCTCTACCTACCTACTCTCTAATTAATCCCACTTTGACCGGTCTTTCCCTATACTAAGCGTTACTTAGGTATGGATGTCTGTATAAGTGACATACTCCAATTAGGAAAGGGATGGTACTGTGTAAGTGCAAAGTGACTGCTTTCGTTACACCCATTACTGATGAACGTGAAGTGTTCTGAAAAATGTAAATCATACAACAATGCAGAGAGAGAGACGTGTCCGGTATGTCGTCTCGACATTGGCACGCGCGCTTGAAAGCATAAGATTGACTGCGGAGGAATGGCAATTCACCTGGCACCTCAACGTCAAGATCCGACACCGAGTGTCCCTCGCCAATCCCGACAATTTGGTACTTTCAGCCGAGATGCCAAGTATAAGACCACCCTCACATGACACATGGGCGACCGGATGATAAAGGGCGACCAAATGAGCTCCCATGCACTCCAGGAGCCCTTGGTATTCCCGCTACCAATACGAGCAGCCCTCATCGTATAGACTGAGGCAGGGACAGAGGCGAGGATCATCACAAACACCGTCTGCCTTTAAGTCCTGAGGTTGACCATTGGCTCTTTTGCCAGACTCTCCAAAAAGTCACCTGGTGACTAGGCAGTGCCAAAATGAATTTATCACATTTGTATACTACACCGTCATCCAATTTTCGATCGCCCGACAAGACGCTGATCAATCATCGGAAATCATGAGTCAAGATTTCCTTTTCCGGTGTATTTGCTAAATTGTGCCCAGCAGAATGTGCCTCCGTGCGAAACCCAAAGCACGCCATCACCGCCGCAGGCGTTGGACAGCCTTGTTCCGATATGCAACGCGTTGCCGGTTTCCAGTACGCGTTGCCGGTTTCTCAGACGAAAGAGCATGCTGAGCAACATGCTCACGAGGGATTGACCGCCACGGTTGTCTGGCTTAGGTCAGTGCAATGGCTGGACTCGGTCGGCCTTGTGGGAGTCGGCCTTGTGGGAGTCGGCCTTGTGGGAGTCGGCCTTGTGGGAGTCGGCCTTGTGGGAGTCGGCCTTGTGGAAGTCGGCCTTGTGGGAGTCGGCTTTGTGGGTGTCGGTCTTGTGGGTGTCGGTCTTGTGGGCATTGATACGCGCAAGTCGGCTTGCGGAAGTGGGCTTGTGGGCGTTGGCTTGTGGGACTTGGCTCGTGGGACTTGGCTCGTGGGACTTGGCTTGTGGGAGTTGGCTCGTTGGCATTGATATGTGGGCGTTGATATGTGGGCATTGATATGTGGGATTGGGCTGGTGGGAGTGGTTTGTAGAAGTCGGCCAGGAGCTGAGAGTCAATCAGACACATCTGCTCGAGGTATACTCCGAGGTATACTCCATGGTCATTTCAGTCGGCTACAGCTGTGGTACCAACCACGAGAGAGAGAGGTCAGAGGCAATCTTCAAGAGTCGACTAGAGCGAGCATTGATTGACTGGAACTCGAGACCGGCAGAGCTACCAGTACATGGGCTGTATTGTCAGCTGAAAGCCACCAGAACGAGCCGAGAATTAAGCAAAGTTGAGTATAAGAGCGGTGAGGAGATCATCTCAATCTGATATCGACTGACTAACTGCAAAGGCCAGTGTCATGTGCGGACCAGTTCCGCGGGATGTCGCGTAAACAATGCGGCCCCCGTCTGAGACGACCTCACCGCCTTGGCCGTCGCGTGGGATCGAAAGCATCTTCCTCTCGTCAGACACTGATGGACTGAAAAGCCAATGCCGACGTCTCGCTTTGGAGACACGACGCTGTATTTCCATCCATGACGTGCGAGCACCGACACCGTTCTGTATCCTTGCTCGACAAGTAGCTCAGCCGGCGAATGTTATTGTTCTTGCCAACCTGTCCATCTGCTGCGCGGTTACCCTCTACCGACCTCCACAGACCGTCTGCCAGATTTAAGTCAATGTGGATCCCTGCCTGTCATCTACTCGTCCAATGCGATGACATGGACAGCTACTCTAGCGAATGCCGTTCTCATGCTTGAATGCATGTTCGCAGTCCAGAGAAGACGATACTCGAAACTTGAGTATAGGTGCAACAAAGAGAATCACCTTATTCGATGAGAATGTCAATCGATCCACCCACATCTATGGGGGCTAGAGACTCCTTTGCCAAGCAGCACGTATGAAGTCGCGCCCGCTGATACTTGATGTTCTATCAGCGGAGCGATGTGTGCAATTGTGGGTCACACGAAGCCACATCAGGTAGCCAAACAGTGCAGTCTGCAAGACCGGCAATTCTGGCCTGACCATCGTTGCAAATTTATTTACCGAGTGCTACAACCGGTGGATCGACTTCCGCCGACAAGGTTCCATGAGACCTTTTCATTGCAGGCATCACTGCTTGGCCATATCAGTCGTTCCGAGGTCTGGGAGATCTCATGCAAGGTTTTATAAATCTGCGCCGTCTCTCGCAGTATCGATAACATTACGGTCCTGCTCGAGCCGAACAAATGAAATGGATCTCTCGTGATGCCCGTCGGTTGCTGGTCCGAATGGCACCATGGTTTCCAAACACCCCCTGCCTTTCGATCACGTGATATTTGGCCCCGGCCCCGATGCTGCTGACGAGAAGTCGATTTGAGCTTCCCAAAATCCATGCCCATTTTATTGGCGAATCGAGAAATTCAGAGAAATCTGTACTCGGTGGTGTCAGTTTCACCCAGGAATTCACTCTGATGGGTGTGGGGATCTACGAAGAGGAAGCCATCATTGTGTAAGGCTACCCGTCGGACTGCCATGGCAGAACAAAGAAGAGGTCTTGCGTATTGGTGCTGGATATCTAGCTCAGTTGCTTGTCATTCAGGTACAACAGTGGGAGTTGCGCCACAGTGGTGTGGTGTGAGATGCGAGCTCGGTATCTCTACGTTGCATCGTCCTGTCGAGTCTCTGAGACATCTGCGCCGTTGCGTACATCCCTGCGGGCTGTGTGTATTCATCTTTGCTCAATCTAGGCCCTTCTCAGCGCGCTTATTTGCTCTCTGTCCAAGCACAGCAAGCTCCTGCTGAGTTTGACGTAGAAAATACCATCGTCGATCGCTTGCGATGCGTCACGACACATCGTTTGTTGGCCACCTCATCGATCACACATATCAGCTACCGCACAGTCATTCCCCTCATCAGACAAACAACTGTGCGTGGCTGCGTGGCTGATGTCTCCCAACGCATGATCACCACAAGGCCTTGACTTGTCTGGGTAGGCGCATCTTATGTTCCTCGCGAGCTGCTGAATGACGAAGAATGACTGGGCTCTATCTTAGTTCCCCAGGTGCACTCATTCAAATGATGGAACGTGAAGGCAGAACGGGACTAAAGTGCTCGTCATGCTGGGCAAACTCTCGACCGGCTCATTATGCTTTCATCCCGCACGTTGCTTTTCTCATCGCTTACGTAGTTGCCCTGATTATACCTCGTTGATATATCCTTTTCGTAGACTAATGACCGCCACCGGTAACACAAATGTAGTATATCATGCTGTTCGATGGTCGTACTACGGCAGCCTCGTCAGGGTGTGGGGCAGGACAGCCCTTACAAAGTGTACATACACACTGTACGTGCATAGTGTCATTCACTCGAATCTCGGGCTCACCGCAGTATTCAATTCATATGGAATCGACCTTTGTAGCCGGTGCGATTGCTGAGCATTAGCTTCATGTTTGTACAGTATTATACACGGTTGACTTCGAAATGACTTAATCCCATTTGTTTGATGATGTATCACAGTCGTACTGAGAAGAGACCGGTGTAGACTTCATGAGTTATGATTTTGTGAGACAACTAGAGGAATTCCAGTCACACGTGCGACTTGGATGTCAAAGCATTTGTAGTTCAAAAAAGAAAATGTTGTTGTCTCATGAAGAAAGGAGCGGCTATAATATGCACACTATACTGCATATATATCGGGACGTTTGAGCCAACTGGGTTCTTGGGGTAGATTCTTCGAAATTTATGGCATGATGTAGCTTTCTTTTTAGTACCTAATTGCCAGCCGTATGCCACGAATCCACTTTTTGTCAAAAAGGACTTGACAATAGCTGTTGGTCTATGAGCTACTGTATGAGAAAAATTCAGTGATGTGGGTGGGGTCTTTTCCCAAGTCGGACGAATTGTGCGCGAGGGATGACACACCGCCTGAGCGACTCATTCCGTTTGTCAACGCGTCAGACTCGGCATTGACAGTCTGCTCATCGATGCGTCGACACTGTCACCATCAACAAATTGTTTTCTGTGGTGGTCACTGTTTTCCAGACTGGCCACTGTTCTTCCTAGCTGGTCACCGTTCCAAGTTGGTCACCGTTCCAAGCTGGTCACCGTTCCAAGCTGGTCACCGTTCCAAGCTGGTCACCGTTCCTAGCTGGTCACCGTTCCAAGTTGGTCACCGTTCCAAGCTGGTCACCGTTCCAAGCTGGTCACCGTTCCAAGTTGGTCACCGTTCCAAGTTGGTCACCGTTCCAAGTTGGTCACCGTTCCAAGTTGGTCACCGTTCCAAGCTGGTCACCGTTCCAAGCTGGTCACCGATTTCCAAGCTGATCACTGTTTTACGAGCAGACTCAACTGTTTAAGAAAGCTAGTCAACTGTTTACGCACGATCATTCAACTGTTTACGAATGGCCGTTCAACTGTTTACGAATGGCCGTTCAACTGTATACGAATGGCCATTCAACTGTATACGGACGCTCAGTCAACTGAGGATGATCTGTCTACCAAAGCTGGTCAATTGTTCACAAAGCAGGCTGCTGGATTGATCACCGCATTTACGCTACCACCATCAACCTCGTTTGAACAGTCATCCTGACCTATGAGACCGACGAGTCATGCTTTCTTGCCCAAGTCTGATGGTCTTTGACCGAGCCGACCAGCCTGTACGTGTGTGTATACATCCTGTGAGATCAGGTTCTGGACACGATACTACTATGCACGGCGAAAGCTGAAACAGCAAGATCCAGGGTTTATTCGTACTCTATAATATTTTGGAGCGAAATCAGGGCCCAAAATGCGCTCTCACGGCCTTGCTATCAGTCTCTTCGCCCGTGGCTCGGGCCTACACAACGCATCTATCGATATGGGTGCAGGTCTTGGCTTCTTCAATTGTCAAAGCGAGAATTGAATACTGGTCCCTAGCACCGCGTAGAGGTGCCTGCACTTCGCTAGAGTCCCTTGGTATCGCAGCGCCCCCCTGCGGAGTCCCTTGGTATCGCAGCTGTCCCCTGCGGAGTCCCTTGATATCGCAGCTGTCCCCTGCGGAGTCCCTTGGTATCGCAGCTGTCCCCTGCGGAGTCCCTTGATATCGCAGCTGTCCCCTGCGGAGTCCCTTGATGTCGCAGCTGTCCCCTGCGGAGTCCCTTGGTATCGCAGCTGTCCCCTGCGGAGTCCCTTGATATCGCAGCTGTCCCCTGCGGAGCATACTTGATAACGCAGAGCCCATGCTGCGGGCAAGCGCAAGTCTGGCACCACTGGGCTCAAAGAAGCAACAGTATGCTGACCAAGTCGTAGCATATCCAAGTGGCTATGGAGACTTTGAAGCCTGCAACCGAAGTCGGCAGACAAGAGAGTGACAACATGACACGTGGGAGTGTGAGGAGGGCCCATGACACATGGGAGTGTGAAGAAGGCAAGTCCTGATTTTTTTTTTTTGGGCTGGAAATCTGGCGCGTTTTATCTCACTTCGGCTACGTTTCTTCGTAGAGACCGTCTGCGAAGATTAATAGGGACGGCCACTGGTTTTTGAGGGGTGTTGAAGTGTTTAAACAGGCGTTGGAAAAGTCTTTCAGGAATATCTGGCCAAAAGACGCACGTCTGAACGACCCGCGGCCGGCCTCATTTTGCCAAGAGGGACTGCCTCTTGGTTCCATGAAAGACGACCATCTAGACTCTTCATTTCTGCGGTAGGTTACATTGGCAACTGTACCACAACTGGTGAACAAATATTGAATCCATGGATTTAAACGCTACAGTAATTAAATCGCGCAATGCATCAAGTTGAGCCAGACGAGCTACTGCGAAGTGTTGAAAGAGGGCTCAACGCATTGGCCATAAACATCCAATCACCGCGCCTACAGTGGTTAAACCAGAGCATGCGATGTGCAGGTTGAGGAAGGTGCACTAAACTCAACGGTGTAAATACAGTGCCTCGTCTTGAGCAAAGCAACTTTTTTTCAGATTGGCCCTGTTATGATGTCGATAATTGTTTATCAACCGTGTAGAAAAATTCTATCTTGAGCGAGAATGAGGCGGGCAGAGGAGAGATTTTGCACACGCCGACTGCAGACCTGCTGCTCCCTCCCACCTTCTGCGCCAACTCTGCATCAAGGCCGATTATCTACAGTCCACCTCAGTGACCACGCAAACTGAAACCATCCGATTGCTTTCTCCGCCAAACGACAACTAAGCCTGGATGCAACATGCGCTGTTCCTATTATCTCATTTGGCGATCCCCAAAGTCTCTCTAGTCCGACAGAAGACACCACAGAGGACGAGACTTCTCATGAGACAGACCGCTGCATACCCCCACATGAGGCAGCCCAATGGGCAGTGTCAAGGAAGATGCGCACGACTGACCTCGGGCCAAGATGTGAAGAGAAGCAGTGCCACTCCGAAAAAGTGATACATTGAGAACTGCAATATGGTCGTTTCGCAATCCACCGCAGAGTGAATGTCAAGTCTTGACTGAGAGCGAGGTTTGGCCTGCATGGTAATTTATCAGACTAGGCGATCGAATGAACGCGTGTCCTCGAGTCTCCGACACTGCCGACACCATCTAGAATTATGCAGGAATTTAGTCAAACAAGCTCGTGGAATAAAAGTCGTGGCGACCTGGAGGGACTACTACTGACCAGTAATTGTGGAGATGATGGCAAAAGTAAAAATGGCTACGGCGGAGGGAGAAGGACCGGATGAGCGCCTCAGTGATAATTCCCATCGTGATCAGACTATTGTAAGGGATTTCACATCTCCACTGAATTCCTCTCACGTATCTCCGCACTGTGCTCTGTCACTGACAATATGCAGCCTTCTACGAATCGACGACATCATGGCCCAGGAAATAAGATACCGAATCGGTCTCCGGTGTAGAACGGACCCGTTCCTTGACCAGCTGGTTCCGACCGACGCAACCCACGTGCCTATTAAGGTTTAAGGTGCCGGCCGATCCGATCGTCCCGTTTCCAATTCTCATCGTAGATACTGATCTTAGTCAGGTCGATTGCCTTGTCTTAGACATCGCTAAAGTTCCTGATCAGGAGGGCAATGGCCAATTGACCACAGCAATAATATCTTCTAGATTGTTCCTTTGCCTTTGCAATCGACGCTCGTGGCAGGGCAAAACCGAGGATCTGCGAGTACCCTTGCAAGACTTTGGCTGATTGGGCTGGCTCGGCCAATCAAGTCAATTCTGACTGCGGGCCTGCTCCTTCTAATCAAACTTAGCGGTCCTGCCCTGTCTCGAGCAATCTTGATTGGTTCGACACCTGCTGAGGAATCAAGGGACCTTGCCTGATGCGGAGAAGCCGTGAATGTCATTCTGACTCAAAGTACCCGCCGTGCCTGGCCAATCAGATGCCAGTAGGTGGTTCTGGAACGTGTCGATCACTTTCCATGTGGCGCAAGACCCACCGCGGATGCAACACCCTCCTGGACCACGAGCCATGGTAAATGATCCGTTCTAGGCTGGGGCAGACGAAGAGCCCTGACTGGACTTACGAGTTGGCTCTTAAACTTCGTCTCCGGGTATGTATATTAGTACTTATGGCCAACTTGGTGACGTAGACGTATACTTATTCTGATATGTCAATTAGAAACCATTCTCGCGTAGATATGTCGCATTGGTAACTGCCCGCCCTGGACGTTGCCTTCAAGTATTCGTTATGGTATAGCATACGTGACATCTCACCAATACTATTTAGCAAGAACAACAATGATATTTATGGGTAGCTAAGACCATGGCATACTGTATCTTGGTTCTAGAAGATGAGTTGATATGCCCGTCGATGGGACTAGGCAAATGTGCGCCATACGGTAAACACAAAAATGGCACCGGTGCCGGTGGGGTGTTTATTATCCTTGGCTGCCCTCTGCTTGCATCCAAGTAAGTGCAGTACACTCCTTGTCCGCTACAATAGCCTCAACCCCAGTTTCTTACTGTTTCGTCGACCCTGGTGCGTACCAATACCACTTCAATAAGCCGTCCACATTACTGGGCTACTTTATAGGGACCAGAACAAATTTATTGTGTCTTAAATAAAACCTGAGCACATCCAGGATGTGTTCTCGGGCGATTGCCAGGAACCTGACTGCAAAATCAAATATGTTACTTAATAATGATGAAGATGACCAAAGATGACCACGATCAATTAACGTGAGTACAAATATACCAAGCTTATATTCAAAGTCAGGATACGACGGTAGCGCGTCAAGCGCATTGGCGCGGAAAGGATGGACGGTAAACAGACGGGCGGTGGTAGGATAATCGTTGAACCCTACACTGGAGCACGGTGAGGCGAAAATTTTTCAAACAGATCAGAACTAGATTGGTGGTGATTGAAGACATGCGAGCGCCAGTTTTGAAAGTTCTGCTAGAGAGACAATACAAAAGTTGTAGTTCCATATTGTACCCAGTTTGCCTCTTCCCCAGAAGAGCTGCAATGAGGCCATTCTTGCCGAAGATGCCCCCTTTCCCTTGTAGTGCTCTTGCAATCAGTCAGGCTTTGGTTGGGCTGGCGATGGTGTAACTATTTATTGCCAGTGTGCCCGCGACTTTCCTTTCGCTTCCTCGACATCGATCTGTACTTTGCGTTAGTCACAGTCATTGACCATGGTGGCCTAAAGACCTCAGGATAATGATGAGGGCTTCGCGAACTGACCTTTTTCGTCTGGTCGACCGACAGTCTTGCTTCTGTACCCGTTCAATTGCCCGACTATATATGTTAGAGATACTAGACTCGTGGATAATGTGGATTTGCAACGCAAATAGCAAAAAAGTACTCACTGGGGGCTTACGGATCGAGTTTGTTCGTTCTGCCTGGAATGAGACGATCCCGTTGACTTTGGTCTTTCGATAGAAGTGAATCGAACTTTCCGAGTGTGTCTGCCCTCCGGCTTTGTAGCTGGAGACCATGCATGATCACGCTCTGCTCGGGTGAGTCCCAGCTTCTGGCGAGGAATTTTCAAAGGCGCCGAGGAGCTTACTGGCTCTGGGGAGCAGGTTTCGCTCTCCAAACCATCGCGCCACTTTTTGTGGTCGCTTATAATTTTATTGAAGCGATCGTCAGAATTCTTCTTGTCGTACTGCGCCATTATTAACACAGGAATTTTGGTGGAGTCGAATATGATGGCTGTCAAAGAGAGGGTTGTCTGAAAAGAAAGGGGAGAAAGTGCCGTCTGTTTCTTTTAAACTTGTCAGCATGCGAAGTCTTGGCAGTTGCGGTGAAGTTCATGGTCTGCTGCACGCTCGACCACAGCATCCCTCGTCGCTCGGCCCTATCACTGGTTACCATCAATTTGGGTGGGCTGGCGAAGCTGAGCGAGCCAAAGTCAATCCGTAGATGTACCGAGGATCCCATCATCTGGAATGCTCTACCACAAGTGTCGACCGCCCAGGAAGTACCCTTTACAATTCTTGGATAGAAAAAAGTCTGAGAGACACGATAAATATCTATATTTCGAATCTACTACATTTATTGGACCGTGCTTGGAACATACCAGTTATTTCTTCGTAGGACCAATTGTTGCTATGAGAAGGCGGCAGGTGGGGCTTTCGAAAAGGCTGAGCAAGGGAAAATGACTTACACAGTTGTTCGCCCCATTGCAGGATACCGCATTATAGCTTTCGTATAGTGAAATATGATCATGGAGCTGCCATGAGGCTTTTTGAGCAGGCATGAATGTGTCTTCGCAGTGGAATCTTGCTTTGTTGAATTTATGTTGACTCAAGCGACAAATAATCGTAAGAGAACCTCCTCAGTTATTCTGTTTGTGAGACTGGACCGCCTGATTGAGTGACAAATTTAACCGATACTAAAAGATGACTCCAGGTAGCTATTGAAACGCACGTATGATCACTATGGACGATGATTCAAAATATCCGACCCTCTGTGTGAATTTATCTTGCATCGATATGTTACCATGAGATCACAAAAATGATTTGCGCGATTTAAATATCCCTTCCATTAAAATAATGCGGGCTTATCGCATCGTAGGAAAATTTAGACTTATTATAAATGCTGGAAAGCCTCGCTGGCTTGCGTTGTTCTCCGCGCTTCGAAATTTGGGAATTCATTGGCGTCATAGACGTCTTGGAAAAAAAGCCTGTCATGCATATTCCTGCGAAATCAAGGGTGCGTGTCCCATGGGCAAAGCCTGCGCATGTACACAGCTTCCCAAATGAGGAATGTACCTCCCCCAGCACAAGCACCCCCTTTCCCACTCGCTGCATCAATGAGACCCCCTACGCAAGAATGCTTAGAGAAGAGGAGGAAATGGATTTTGTCTTCAACATCACTGTCAGTGCGGCCAACTGGGCTCTGCTTGCTGGCTATCTGGTCGTCCCGGGCACATTTACCTCTCTTCAAAGCTCCGATCAGGTTGAACGTGCTTTGCAAGCCAACAAAGCCGGTCGAACAGTGTTGCACACGATCCAGAATCCTCCATTGCTCTCCATTGCCTGTTGTCTTCTTGTCGGAGGTCTTGCAGCTTTCGCATGGCTTTTGCATTTTGCGAAGCTCAGAAGCAATTACATATGGTTGGTCAATAGGCTTTTCACGTAAGTTACTGCATCACTCGCACGACAACCAGGGTGTTTGAAATTGATTTATCAATAGGCCAATTTCTCTGAACGCCGCTGCTGGGCTATTGACTACAATTATCAACGTGTGCGCATCTCAAGGGGGAGATTGGTCTGTAATGGCCATTGCTACCACTGTCGCTACTGGAACTACTCTTACTGTTTCCCTGGCACTGTTGTATTTCTATAAGTTTCACCTTCTGGAGAAGATCAAACGAGATGAGGCGGTCTTCACTTTTGTTTTGCCTTCTTCGAGACCGAAAAAGTAAGTCGAGGGGCTGGTATCGACCTGAGCATGGCCGATGAAGAAGATTGAAAGGAATGAGTAGGGATGTTCTCTGAACGCGTATTGTCATTTGAAGATCGGAGCAACAAACTATTATGCAGGAAGATACGGCAGACTGTGTGGATGCAGAGAATTCAGTATAAGATGCAATATGATGTTCTTGCTATGCTTTTCGCTGTAAACACCTTGTTTCGTACTGCTCCTTAATGCCAGGTCTGATCGTTCGAAGGGTTGCCCGAGCAATCAAAGGTATTAGCTGGTTTCCTATCTTGTTGTAAGCCTCGCCTCAGAAATAGCATGGATATAGTGCTGACAAAGTTGTGAATGACACAAGTCAGCCCTTTGCAGGCCTTTAAAAAGCAAACGGTGAAAAGAAAATATCTCACGCCAGAGCTGGCTAGCCCAACGGGGACTACTCACCAAATCTGAAAAACGACTGAATGTTCTTCGACCTCAATTCAAGGCCACAGGTAAGGTCTAAAAATTGTAGCTTCTGCAAGAATTAGGAACTGGTGCTGAAAGACTGTTGATCCTAGGGAACCAAAAACTGTAATTAGGACATTGCGCAGTCTCCTGTATTCATTCGAATATTCCAGCACTTTACAGAGGTCAGAGAAATCTTCAACTGATGAATTGCTTGAGACCTTTTCAGTCCAGAAGCCAACTAAATGACTGGAGATATAAAAAGCGAGTCCTGTTCTAAAACTTGACAAGACCCAACCACCCATTCTCGATTGATTGAGTCCGGCCACTCATAGAATATACGTCTGGGACACAGCATTCAATTTCGCCTGTTGGCTCATATGCGTTTCTGAGCTTCTCTACCGATTCGGACACGTCTGATAAATTCTAGAGCCATACCATGACCATCTGGTCTACGGTCGAGTCTAAGTTAGTGTCCTACAAAATGCCCCAATGTTCTGATTAAGTTGATTTCTAAATTATCTATCATCAGAATGTTTCCATGCAGCAACGACATGATCAATGGGGCTTCCATCGCATGTACCGAGAACAACATTGCTGCACCTAAAAATCCTGACGCCAATGCAGAGCTGCATTGGAATACTGCCGCTCTGCCTTTATCATTGATCATTCCCACATTTGACCGGCCAACTCTGAGCGTACCTGCTGTCACCACTGCATCCTATGCCAGAGTACTGGCTGTCCCTACAGCCACACATATCGCACCTAGTGTAACAGTGGAGGGATCAGCTGATAAAGCGTTCTTCGAAACCTCACGACCTTGGAGACTCTGCTTGATTTTTCTTCTCATCAATCATATCTTTCTCTAAGGTCGGTGAGAGCTTTTTTTCTGGTATGAGCATGTGGCAGTTTGAATGGACCTGAGTATGCTTGAATAGTGAGAAGTCCGAATGATATAGCGGCGGATACAGAGAACAATGAGAAGATTACAAAGTAAAAAGCCCAGTATCGATGACGTCTTAGCAAAATGCGGAGTCCTTAGAAAGATGAGGCTTTTCGTACTTGAATATCAGTCAGGCACGTATTCTATCAATGAATGGAAGATTGCAGGGAAGCATATTGATTTCAGAGAAATAGAGATGCGCCATAAATTACAGGACTCGAGGCGATACAAGGCTGGATTTGATCAGGAATAAATCGTAAGATCGAGACACACCCCGAGCTATCGCCAGAGCAATCTATAAATATTTGATTCCCAACAAATTGAGAGACCAAAAATTGAAATATAGTGTAAACCAGTTTAACACATCTGATGGAGAAATCAATGCTCGCAAGATCCAACTTTGCATGTCGGTTTTGCTCACTTGTGAGCCTTGTAACCGATGATTTGCTTCTGGCTCTAACATATCATGAGCCTCTCACATCTCATCATCTTCCCACGAGTACCACAGAACAAGATATTTAATGACCGATTGGCCATTCTGGATGACTGCTTGTCGCGTGATTGTTTTGATTGGAATTTTCCCGTCCTATCATGAGATGCTCACTAGATTAGCGATGTGATTAAGAGTCTATCGCGATGCACTTACCTGAACACCAAATTCTCCATCAGCTCGCGAGGAACCATTGAAAAGATATAAAGCATCCGACGAATCATGCGAGGCATATGACAATCTTTCTGTGTCTGAAGCGATGAAATCTCGGTCGTCACTTGTCTCCGAGGGTACCGTAGAGGATTTTTCGGAAGGGAATGAACAGATGTCCGTGTCCTCTGATTCCCAAGTCAAAAGCCCATTCTCAGGGCTGGTCATGATGGCTGGTAAGGTAGTAATCTAGAATGGAAGCGCTGGGCTGTCAATGCTGAAGGGATGAACAAAATTGATGGATCTTTCCAAAGCTTTATGCAGCCCGAAGTCTGCACTAAAAACTTTCAAGAGACCTGGATTTTGCGGATTAGAATTGTAAGTACAGATTCCAGATTATTTCCATCGTTGTGATACGATATTGCAGTCTCTCATGATGTCGAATTTTGAGTAACCATCGAAAGTGAACACCTGTTCTCACCATCCTCACCATCCTCACCATTACTCTTCTTCGAGAAGAACAATGCAATTATCTTGGAGATGGGAGGGGATCCCAGTAGAAGTGCGAGCTTTATGCTCAGATTGGCGAAATTGGCGAAATTGTTTCGGCGTATCGTTGTGGCTGACTATCTCATGAAACGGAGAGCTTGTTGTCCTGCATGCGCGCGGACAGATGATACTTGTCGTACTTGAATATCATCAGTGCTAGGAACACATATACCATCCCAATTTTAGGTTATAATATGAAACTTGCTTTTGGAGGAATTCAATTTCTCAGGTATAGTTAACTGTGTGGGGTAGGTACTCCAGCCGTAGAAATAGGCCCCAAGGGTCGAACTTCTTTCCTCTGCCAAAGATTTCATCTTTCCCGACCCTATTATGATGAACGACTGCAAATTTAAGCTATCAACCTCCAAACCATAAGATTTGGAACACTTTCGGAAATAATGAAAACCAAAATAACGTTGTTCAAATAGCGGAAAAGGGCGCGAACGGGGTAGTTCTATATATTGTAGGATTGTATTCCAATACCATAACTCTGTCTCGTCATGTATATACATTAGCTGTGATAACTGTTCTGCCGGCATTACGGGCCGAAAAGGATGCTGTGGCAGAAAAAAAAATATGGCCAGAGTTCTGCCGGAATTATGATGAAATGAAGGTTCTGCCGGCATTAAACCAAAACCACGATAAGGAGCAAGTAGCATCAGCGAAAGAATACAGCCTACGACACGAGACGAGCCATTACCACAAATGTATCTAGTTTCTCGCGCTCAATCATCTTCCATTCCTTAGAGCTTACCATCTCATTTGGATGGTATCCACCGCATTAACTTGTCCAAGGCACAAATCCTACTAGGACAGGTATTCTTATATTCTTAGGTGTTTTAGTTTAGGTGAGGGGTAAGTGACATGGTTCCCCGCACTGTCTCGTATCGCTAGAGTATTAGAGATCCGCCCGTATCACTGTATGTTTTGTATGGTAAGAAGCAACTTACCGGAAAAATCGACTCGTAACAAGCAGTAATAGTACCGTGCTCATTAAGACCGCTTTCAATACCAGAAGGTATGGTGGGCTTAACGAGTCACGTCTATATGGACCCTGGGTATTTCGTCAGATCTTCTGATGAGCCATCTTTGATTAGCCACTTTTGATACTAGGTCATACAGGAGATCAGAATGCTGATACATAACGACAAACCGCCCGCATTATGCGGGTTGGTTATCGCCGGTTCAAAAATACCTGAAGACGTTGGCATCCGTTTATTTGTGGCTTACAATCTAGTCCCTAGATTTACACACAATTAGAAGGCAAAAAACTTTACCAAGTACAGGCCTAAGAGATAAGGCGCAGACAGGTGCACCGGCGGCGTTGCCAATACTCCAACACCATGGCTTGCCTACTTGATAAACTGGGTCGAGATACTTGTGGCTCGATGAAGTGTAGGGGAGACATCCAGGCGTGACATGCATTTTTGCTTGGTAAGGCTACATCCAGTAAAGGAACCTAGATCACTTCATGGGATATATGAGAATAATCTTTACGGACCGGTCACCGTACCTTACACCAACAAGATGTCCTATACTCAGAGTTAACACAAAAAATGGAAGCTATATTGAAAATCTGTGGTAGAATTGAGCTCATAATCTAACAATGGTAACGCCATAACGAATCTCCAAGCAAAAAATATCTGCGTATGTAGTCGTTCATGTTCCTTTACGTGCCATGGCTGCATGACGAAGTGGTTTACTCTCCAGCGAACCCATTCATCAGATGGAAGCTGCACACCACAGAGATCCCGTCACAGTCGAATGTGAATCATTGGCGTGTCGTTGAAAATGCATGACTTCCGTAAACTTTTCATCGCAAATATTGCACGCAATCGTCTCGCTTGACAAAATCTTTTTGAGATGCTTTATTTTGATGTGTTTGGTGACATCCCCATGGGAGGAAAACCTTCGAACGCGCTTTGCAAGGTCCAGGTCTCGCTGACCCAAGCAAATGAAGCAAAATAATGGTCGATGATCCTTCGTAGCAGATCGGAGAGCAAGTTCGAGCGGAGTTTCTGGTGTACAGGCGCTGTCCATCACTTCACTTCCTCGTTGACAACTATCAAGGATCTTGACGTTTTCCCCAGATCCTTCTAATCTTTTATTCTGCGGTAAACGGCAGCTGTCGCCCTCTTGGAATTCACAATAAGCAGCTACTGAATCGATAGCTTCGGTTCTCCGAGTTATCTCCTCCTCTATCGTTGGGCGTGGTAGAGTCAAAAGACTCTTGATCAGTCGTTGCTGCGGTACAGGGATATCCGTGGAGCACTTCAGCTGTTCGCTGGAAGACTCAGCTGGCTCAACGCCAGACAATTGTCGCTTGATCTCTAACATGGGCTGTTCTCGGTCATATTTGTTTTGAATCTGTGAAAGAAGTGTGTTCTGCGCACGCTGCCTTGCTCCTGCCAACTCCTGGTTCAGTTTTCTATGCATATCATACGCGGGTGTGCCTTTGTGTTTTGACAGGGGACGCTCTAGAGATCGACTGATTTCATCGCGTCGGCGTATTAAGTCGAGAATTTCCCGCTGTTGATTCACGGAGCGAGATTGCTCGGTCGTGAGCTCCTGCGGGCGGCGCGGATCGATCGTTCGGCTCATTCGACAAGCAGCGCGCATAATATCTTCTTCTGGATCAAGGCCACGAATTATGGCGGGCAGGTTCTTGGAGATCTTTCTACTGAGGTAGAATTTGAGAAATGTCCGTGTGTCAGCATGATGCATCACAAGGTTGCGAAGGGAATCGCTGACGGAACCTGGAGCTGGATTAGTCTATGGATCCTACAGGGTTGAACAGTCCAACATACCACTATTGTCCAAAGCGGTGCCTGCCCCATAGCGTAAGCTGTAGGGGCGTGTGACTTGCCTAATACCTGTGATCACGCCGATTTTCTTGACCCACGGCTCCAAAGTTGAGTAGGGGAGAGGCCTGTTGGGTGATATGCCGATTCCGTGAAAAGTCCGCTCTGACATCCGAAATACCGGCACGTCATCCATCGCTGAATCAAGCTGTAGTCTTAGTTCATTACACTCGTCGCGAATTCGAAGCCGAGGAAGCTGGCTTGCAGAAACCAGAATTTCCTCACCCTCAACACGGTCAAATGCACGATCTGCAAAGAGCAGACCCAACAGGAAGACATGCGGACTGAGCACCAACGAAGGATCGAAGATGATTTCGGGCAGAATGTAAGTGTTACTGAAGAAGATGTCAGAGGGGGATTACGACGCGGAGCGGAGCAGACTAACGCTTCTTTGGCACCCAGCCATTCCTTGGTGAACTCAAAGGTGAACTCGATCACAATCCGATGTGGACCGCCCTGCGGGTCACGGAGAAGACTGACTTGGATGTGACGATATCGCAGATCAAGGATGGCTTGGGGACGGTTTGTCGTGAGACCTGCGAGCTGCAAGAAAAGTCCGAGCTCAATGCGGTGGCGGCCATGTCCGAACTTTTTCTTTGTTGTGCTGACGGTGGTCTCCACCACTTTTGCCAGGTCCTCCACATCCATAGGAGGCTTGTCTCGTCCTTTGAAAGACAACTTATACTTTTTGGCCAGTCGCCGAATAACCTGAGTTCGAAAGTGTGTCAGTCTTTGAAGAGGGGCAAGATTAAGTGAATAAAGGTAGGGACAGGCGTTCATACTCGACGCATCCGACGGTTCATCTGATTTCCGATCTTCTTTGACGTGGACCTTTCAAAGACCAGTCGAAAAACTTTCCAAAAGGTATCCAGAGAGCTTTTGCACTTGATTCCCGGAAGCCTTCTTCCATTTTTTCCTCGTCGTAGATTGAGAGCCCACTCCAGAAAGCTATATAGAATCGCGATCGATAAGTGGTGGTATTCCTCGTTGGGATCTTTCTTAATGAAAGCGCAGAATCTTGGTGATACTTTCATAAGTCCATGATGCTCCGCTAATTAGGGAAAAATGAAAGGTGAAACTTACTGTGACCATTTTTCCTCGATGCGATCGAGGAGAGCGGTAGTGCCCTTGCCATAGTCTTCCTGCATGTATGTCGTCTCATCAAAGTTTTGAAGTTGCTGGATGTAGTATTCCGCTGTCTGCTCATTGTCTGCAAAGAATAAGCTCGCATCGCCAGCATTGCGTGCTTGATCTGCTTCATCCTCAGGCTCCGTCAAATCTGTATCGGATCCAGTGTCTTCTGTGCCTTCTCTATCGGAATAGTCGCTGTCGCTAAATGACTCGCAGTTCACTTTACGAGATCGGCGGGCCATGATCAGAGAAACTGAGGGTCGCGGTAGTAAAAGTAGTAAAAGCGATAGAAGATGCGAACACGCAGTCCAGGTGTTGGCAAAAAAGAAGGTTGTCAAAGTAAGAGATCAATTGAATCTCGGCGCTGCGACCCTGAGATTGACTGAGAAGAAAAAAGAAGAAGACAGGGGAGGAAAATCGCTGCCATTTTAAATGCCACAATTGTCGAAAACCCGATTTTCGGTGCCTTCGAGGGCTCGGAACTCTGCAACAAAGGGGCAGCGAGGGGAAGGGGAAGTATAGAGTGGATCACAGGTGCACGCCAAGACGCCGCTGAGGTTCTAGAAGAAAGTGCGTGGGTATAAATCCCATCATGAGTGGCAGAACGGTTGGCAGATGGGCGGCCGAAAGCGGCCTCGGAAACGGCCATTTCTGGCCGTCCATTTGCCATCATCTAGTTTTAAGAAGTATTAAAAGGAATAATATCTATATTTCTTATATAGGAAACTAAGATATATATTATAGGATTACTAAAATAAGAGTAATTACTTATAATAGATTAGAGCTATCTAAGATTAAGAAGCCTATAATATTACTAGCCTTAAAAATAAAGGAAAGGCTTAATAACTCTATATGATATAGGAAATAGTAAAAAGATATAATAGTAATAAATTTATAAAAATTAAGTAGATTAATAATATATATAGAAATATAGCTATAAAAGAACTATAACCTAAGATCTAAGATTATATAGGATATATATCTATAGATATATAGATACTAATAGCTATAAATTAATAAATAGATTAACTAAGACCTATAGTAATAGATAGAGTTATAATACCCTAAAATAATATTTTTAAAGCTTAGAAGGTTATATAGATATCTATAGAATCTCTTAAGATTAATAATAATACTATAATAAATAATAAAGAGAGAGTTAGATAACTCTATTAAGAATTATAAGAGATCTTAAGCTAAATAAAAGTTAAATAAAATAAGCTTAAGTACTAGTTTTAGAAATAGCTAAGATTAGTTAATATAGAAGGATTATACCTATATAGAGATAAGCTATATACTTATATAGGGTTTAAAAAATATCTATAATATTAATATATAATAACTAATTATTACTATAAGAAGGATTATAAAGAGTATAATTAGAAATAGGTAGTATTAGCTTATACTAAGCTAGTACTAAAATAGAAGAAATTACTAAACTAGAAACTAGCTTTTTAGTAACTTATAGTAACTAAGTAAGGAGTATACCTTAAAATTAAAGTAAATATTCTCTTATAAATAACTAAAGTATTAATTAATTTAGGAGTATATAGAAACTTTATAGACCTATACTATATATATTAATTATAGGTATAGTTATACTAAAAAATAAGAGTAATATTAATTATAGGGCTTAATAAAGAAAGCCTAAGACTAGGAATAATCTATAAATCTAGGTTATTATCTATAATTATTAGAAACTATCTAGAGTTAATAGAGTTTAATATTATTAATCTAGGAGGATATAATATAGTACTAAGAATATTATAGCTTAAATACTATAACTTAGTAATCTATTAGGATACCTAATAGATTAATTTTATTAATTATAAATATAAGATAGTAAATTAATAATAAAGTAATTAACTATTACTAAATTAAGATACTAGATTAAGAGTAGGAGCCTATAAAAGACTATAAGATAAGAAACCTAATATAATCTTTTAATCTAAGAATAGGGTCTATAAGACTAATAATATAAATATTATTAGATAGTTAGAGTAATAACTAAATATAAGTAATAATAAACTTAAAGAATATATTATAGTATATTATAAGAAGTCCCTTTATATAATAAAGAAAAGAATACTAGAACTACCTTAAGAATACTAAGAGTTCTAAGATATATTTATAATACTACTAATTAACTAACTACTAGAGTATAGATTATATAATTATTAGATTCTAATTTAGAAGAGAAAGAAACTAAAATATATACTAATTTATTAATTATTAGAGAAAGAGTCTTAAATACTAAGGGAATATATTAATAAGAACCTTATAAAAGATTATATTTAGTACTCTATATTATTAATAAGATACCTAATCTTATTTATACTAAAAAAAGATAATAAATTATATCTTTATATAGATTATAGGTAATTAAATAAGATTACTATTAAAGACTAATATCTATTATTATTAATCTAAAAGATTTAAGATTAAATTTATAAAATAAAATAGTTTACTAAATTTAATATTACTAATATATATAATTACTTATATATTAAAGATAAAGATAAATAGAAAATAGTATTTAGAATAAAGTTTAGATATTATAAATATATAATTATACTATTTAGATTAACTAATATACTAATATCCTTTTAATAATTTATCTTTAGTATTTTAGAAGAATATCTTAATATATTTATTATTATATATTTAGATAATATCCTAGTCTTCTCTAAAATAAAAGAAGAATATATAGGATATATATAAAAAATACTAGAAAAGCTTAAAAAAGCTAAAATAACTCTTAAGCTTAAGAAATATAAATTCTATATATAAGAAACTAGGTTTCTTAGGTATATTATTAATAATAATAATTTTAGTATAAAAGAGGAAAAGATTAAAAATATCTTAGAATAGTCTTAACTTAAAACTATTAAAAAGATATAATAATTCTTAGGATTATATAATTATTACTAAAGAAATATAAATAATTTTAGTAAGATTATAGTAGGACTTAATTAATTAATAAAGAAAGATTAAGTCTAGGAATAAGATAAAATAGTAAATAAATTATTTAAGGGACTAAAAGAGTTATTCTAAATAAGATTAATTATTTATATCTTTAATCTAGAATTACTTATTATAATTAAAATAGATATATTAGATTATATAATTAAGATATAACTTATATAAGAAATTATTATTAATAAGATTAGAGGATCTAAACTAATTATCTTTTAGTTATAAAAGATAATATTAATAGAACTTAATTATAATATTTATAATAAAGAACTATTAACTATAGTATTAATATTTAAAATATAAAGATTATATCTAGAAGAAGTAAAATATTAGATATTAGTTAAATTAGATTATATAAACCTAATATTCTTTACTATAATAAAAATACTTATATAATAATAAGTATACTAGGCTAAGATACTTTTATAATATAATTATAGGATTAAATATTATAAAAGAAGAATAAATAACTAAGTAGATATATTAAATAAGAGATCTAATTACTAGATTAGAGTTAAGAATATAGTACTAATAATACTAAAGATAGATAAAAAAGGAAATCTTATTTATAATTATTAAATACTTATAGTAATAAATAAGTTAGAAAATACTATATAGCTTAAATAAATCTAAGAGACTACTAAAGATAACTAATATCTATAGGATATAGTTAATAAAAGGAATAATAGAAAGATAATCCTAGATAAAAGAATCTTACTTATCTATAGATTAGTATATATTCTATAAAGAATATAAGAAGAGATTATTTAATAATATTATAATATACTAAGTAGAGAATATCTAAGAATAGAAAAAATAATTAAGCTAATTATAAAGAATTTTTATATACCTAATATATACTAAAAAGTTAAAAACTATATTTAGTAATATAATACTTATTAATAGGATAAGCCCTTATAATATTAACCTTATAAAGGAATATAAAACCTAGAAGTACTAATAAAACTATAGGAATAGATTATAATAGATTTTATTACTAAACTACTAATTTTAGATAAATATAATATAATTATAATTATTATTAATAGGCTAATTAAGTATATCTATATAATCTTAATAATAGAAACTATTAATATATAATAAATAATAAATATCCTAATTAGGAATATCTTTATAAACTATAGATTACTAAGAAAGATTATATCTAACTAAGATAAGTTATTTATATTAAATATATAGTATTTATTTATAGACTAGATTAAAATAGAGTATAGACTCTTAATTATCTACTACCTATAAACTAATAGCTAAACTAAGTAGATAAACTAGATACTAGAATAATACCTAAGATACTATATAAATTACTAATAAGATAACTAAATAAGATTATTACTAATTATATAATTTATGTGATAATATTATATATATACTTATTTACTGACTGGTTGTTACCTTTAGAATAAGGATCACGGAGATGCCTTAAGATAAGGATGCCTGAGGATTAGATTGTTTAAATATTTGATAAGGTTGCTAGAGATTGCTAGTAATAGATAAAGGGGGATATGGTATAAAGGTTGCTTGCTAAAGCTAGAGGACTTATTCCTTTTCCTTTCCTCTTTATACTAGAATTTTTAGTTATATTATACCTAAATTGATTTACTTTGATTACTTAAGTAATACTATAATATAATTCTAGTATTACTTTTTCTTCTATATTACTTAACCTATATAACTAAGTACTTAATTATATCTTAAGCTTAGGTTAGTAGTAATATTAGAATATAGGAACTAGATAAGTAATTATAATCACTATCTATAATAAACTTAAAGAGTTGATAAGATTATTAATCTTCTATAGAACCCTAAACCAAAAACTAAAAAGTAATATATTACTATTTTTACTAAACTAATCTAGAGTAATTATTAAAATAAACTACTATTACTATGGTATCTTAGTGTATGACTTAGAGCTAGTTATCTAAGAAGAACCTAAACCTAAAATAAGTAGCTAAGGTTATTGCTAAAGAATCTAATATCTTTTATAACTCCCTAATGGGATAAGGTAGAAGTAGTAAACTAATCTTTAATTAACCAAAAACCCTAATTAGGTAAGGTAGTTTATTATACCTAGATCTTATAAGAAAGGCTGTTGATGTTATATAATAAATAACTAAAGAACTAACTATTTATATTAGAAAGGAAATCTTATATATAGATATTATAGGACCTAACCTAGTACTTACTAAAGAAAGAGTTAGAGTAAGAATTAAGGATTTTAATAACCTAGCTTAACTCTTAAAATAGA